CACGTGCGAAAAAAAAGAGTGCGGGGAGCAGTGCATGAATCATACATTTCTTGAAGTCTCATGGAACATGTATGGTAAAGAAGTAGGCGCTCACACTCATCTAAGTAAGATGACGATTATTTCTACTTTAAAATAATATATTTATTTCAGTTGGTGAACGTGAAACAGGCCTGGATCAAAAAAACACAGGTGCTAAGATGGAATTCAATCTGGAGATAAATGCTGATAGCAGTTTCAGGATGCTATTTGATCCAGAACATAAAATTGATTTTGATCCGGAAGATATTTCTTGCGCTCCAAAGGGAAATGTCCTACCCAGACCAGAAACATGGAAAATCAAAGATGGAGTTGGAAACCTGAAGGATAAATATCTGCTCGTCTTCCATCTACTTCCACAAACGGCTTCAATAAAATACGAAGGAAACAAGCACAAAGGAAATCTTGGGGATGAAGGACCAAAATGTGATCTCTTCATTCGCTTTGTAATCTTTTTCAATTTTCCCAAAAATTCAACTAAATTTTTATTTTTTAGAACAGGACAGACGACGGCTTCCAGTTTCTCCAGGTCGACCCTCAAACAACGACTACAAGCACAACTACAACGACCAAACCATCAACAAAATCATCGACCACATCAACAGCTATCGGAACAACTCCAACGCCACGACCGCAGCAAGGAACTACAACAAATGTGGAAGTAAAGGACACCAAAAAGGGAAGCAGTGCTGGGAAAGTGATATTTGTTTTGGTTATGTTGGTGATTGTTTCCGCGATGATTGGGGTTTGCGTCTATGCTGGGCTCGACTACCGCAAAAAACAACAAAAGGAAAAAGAAGAAGAAGCAGCGAAAGCAGCAGCAACTGAAGCAGCAAAAGCAGCGGAAACAGCAGCAGCTGGAGCGGCAAAAGCAGAGGACGAGAAAGAGAGGTAATAGTAGAAAGAGAGATAAAATAGAAATAATAATTTTTTATATTTTTTCAGAGCTGCCAAACAATCGGATGATGAAGCTGCCGGAGGGAAAAAGACAGAGGACAGCAAGGCAAAGAACGATCAGGCCCCGAAGGAGGAAACGACTTCGAAGGACTCGACTCTGAAGAAGGACCCGGCACCGGAGAAGGCGGACGCTACAAAGAGCAAACAGGCAGGTACGACGTCGGATGTTCCAACGGATATGGTGTCGGAGGCTAAAGAGACGGAACAGTAAATTGTGGAGATGAAGTGATGGTTGCGGCTAAATAAACTAGGAGATGAGAGAAGTTGAGAAGATAAAAATTGGAGATATACATATAGAGAATATAATTTGTAAATAATCTGTAAATCATTCATTCTCTATTCCCCAAACCCCCTATATTCTCTCCAATTCTCTCAACAAAAATTGTATTTCTCTCTATATATGGCTCTATATGCCAATCTATATATTTCCCTATATCCCCTATATTCACATATTAGGCTATATGCCCATCTATATATGTATAATCTATATATCTATTTTCCCTATATACCCAAATTTCCCTATATATTCCTTATATCCCCTATATATTTGCAGGTTGAGTTGTATTCCCTGCTATTGTTCATTATATATTGTATGTACCGTATTTCCTATATTAGAGCCCCACCCTCTGTTAGAGCCCCACCCTTTAATACAGCCCCACTTTGGAGGGTAGTTGAAAAATAGAGCCCCACCCTCAATTAGAGCCCCACCCCTAATACAGCCCCACCTAAAAATATTGGAGGAAAAATAAAAAATATCCCAATAATTTTTAAGATTATTAAGAGTTAAGGAAATAAAGGGCCATGGGGATATAAGGATTAAGGGAAATATGAGGGATTAACTAAGGGGAAAAGGAAGAGATATAGTGGGTATTCCTTTTATCCCCGATAGATATCCCTTATATCACCGATATCCCTCTTCACAAAAAAATCCCTTCATATGCCTACTAATACCTCATTCAAAATATCACTCTTAACCCCGCTAAATCTCTCAATATAAAATTAATCCTCTGATATTCCCCATAATCCCTTAAAATCGCTTATATACCTACATATGATCCATCAATGTCAAATACAAGTCCCCTAATATTCCCTTTAATTCGTCCAAATCTACCAATATTTCATAATTAATCTTACCCTCATTGAACTATTGCGATTATTTTGTTACTCATTGCTTATAAAATTTTAATTTTTTTGAAAAAATATCGATTGTCTTTTGATTTTATCGACCAACCCCTCCGGCCTATCTCTAGTTGCAATGGATATAATAAATGTGATTCTATCTCAAAAGAGGGTTGAAAAATAGAGCCCCACCCTCAATTAGAGCCCCACCCTTTAATACAGCCCCACCTTGGAGGATAGTTGAAAAATAGAGCCCCATGGGGCTCTAATATAGGAAATACGGTATATGTATTTTTCTGTATATTGTGATTGTTGTGATAAATATATGTTTGTATGGAATATTAATTTTATAGTTGTTTTTAATGCCAAATCTAATCCTTATACATAGAGGCTAGAAATCTGAGTTGAAAAATTTCAATAAGAATGAGAAGTATTTGATATTGGGGATATAGCTTACGGTAGCTCCCTCGTATATTCAATGGCAAATAACTTTAAAAATATCTTAAATTGAGTATATCAAGGATGTCATGGGTGATCCGATACCCGAAATTAGGAGAATTTCCAACTCGGTAAAAGATTCAAGAGATTTTCGAACCGAAATCCTACCCTACCTTTTGACTCTATCCGTAACATCCCTGGTGCAGATAATACTGGGGGTATCTTAAATTGAGGGTGTGAATATTGAAAGTATAAAGGAATGAGGTAGGAATATATCCAACCCCTTCTACATAAAATTACAAGGGAGTAGTTCTCTTATAATGAGCGTTATTTAAAATTAGTGTCCATTAAATAGAAGAATAGTCGCCTATAGCGAGAGGTTAATTTAAAAATTAAGGGAAAAAATTTTTTTTGTTAAAGAGACAATAATTGTGAAAATTTTGTTTAGAAAATAAAATATTCTTTGAACAATAATTGGTTAAAAATCATAAAATTCAAATAAACGTGGCAAAATAAAATACAATGTAAAGAATTTTTGTCAATTTTATGACAATTTATTAGCGTGGCCAAAAATAAAATGCAAAAATAGAAAAAAAGGTTTTTTGAAAGTATAAATGCGATAAAGCTATAAAAATAGACAAAAGAAGTATATTAAATAATAGAATGGGTAAATTAAAAAATTTCAGAAATATTTTCAAAAAATCAAGTTAAGGGAAGAGTCCGTCAAGATAGAATTTAAAACAACTTACTAGGCGGGCGTTAAAGCTTTACTAAAAAAGAGAAGGTTAAACAGGCGCTGATACCTCATGCCAGTCGGATGGCATAAATAGAATGGGTATGGATAAGACAAATCTCATATGTGAGAATCGGAAATCCTCGACGGTTTTAGGGTCGGCAGAATCCCCGGTTTGTATTTGGCACTAAGGTTGCGGATAGTTGGAAATCTTCGGATATCCGGACCAGATATTACAAACGAAAATTTCCGGATATCCGGCCTTTTTTCAGATCCGGATCCGCCAACCTTACTAGGCACAAATACGAAAATTAGTTTTTCTTCCTGACAGGGCTAGAAAATTTTGTTTAAAATCTTAAGTAAAATAGAAAAGCTTAGAAGCTATTTTAGAGGAATTTGTTTTTGTGTAAAAGGGTAGTGATTAAATATAATAATAATAATCGTATAGTAAATGAAAAAAGAAAATATTTAAAATAGTAAAAATATAGGGAGGAATTAAATAAATTAAAAAGAAAAAATATTCAAATCCTTTAAATATTTATTATTAAATATACTATTAAACACCTCCAAATCCCTCAAAATATTTTTGTAAAAATATTTAAAATAATAGATATTAGTCTGAAGAAATTAAAAAATTAAAACATGTAAAATATAAATATGTAGAATGCCTAGGAAATTTTTTTCTCATAAATAGAGGTTAGATAACCTAAGGCTACGCCTAAATAAAAAGCGCCCACATCTTGAAGCCGCTGCTACGTGGTTGCATAAATTAGCGTCTTCAGCACAGATGATGTGGCAAAAAACGACAAAACACTAAGACCCGGCAAAAAGCGAAAAAACACTAGGACCCCGTGGCGCTGCCTCCCCGAAAATTTTCCCCGTAGCCCCCGTCGGGGAACAACCCTAAAAATACTAATTTTTATGTAAGCATTTATCTTCTTTTTTCCCCTGGACTTGTCGCCAAGTAATGTCTCAAAAACGCGAGCGATTTTTATGTAAGCAATAGTATAAAAATTCTTTTAGTGTGAAGAATAGTAACAAATATAATGGAGATCTCACGGAATACCGAATAAATTTTTTATAGATTGAGATGCAAAGAAAAGTTATTAAAAATGATTAAATCAATTATTAAAAAATTCAGAAAATTCAAAAATATTGAAAAATAATTTTGAAAAATTTGAAAAAATTCGAAAAAATTCGAAAAAATTCAAAAAATTCATTGAACTCTTTAATAATAATAAATAAATTCAAAAAAATTAAATTCCTTTTTTAACTTACCCCATTCGATAAAAGCTGCTCTTCTTCATCCCCCATTTCTAATGGAATTTGTTGTGAATTAACTAATAAATGTTGTTGATGACGAGAAGAATAAGGGGAGTTAGAGCCGCTAAATGGAAGGCCAATGGAGCAAGAGCCGCTCTCTTCTGTTGTATTTTCTTCCTTTTTTTTTGTTAATTTTTAAAATTAAATGGAGTGGATGGGGAGAGGAAAAACGTGACAGAAAATTTTTTAGAAAAAATTTTTAAAATTCTTTTGAATTGAAAAGGGGTAGGAGAATGGGGGAAGAAAATGAGAGAAAGATAGAGTCAACAACTGGGACAGGGAATCAAAAAATGAAGCAGAAATAAACGGGAAGGTACCGGGAATTAAGAAAGGATCTGATAAAGGCAAAACCGAGTGAAAAGAAAGAAACCGGGAAATGTGTGGTCCATTTAAATTAAATACCTACCCTATAAGGTGGACTTATTTGCGATATTTGACCACCTTCTATAAATTGATTTGGCTCTCTAGGAAATGGTTGCTATAAAAAAATCTTTAGAATGAGAATAAGAGGATAGTACTGTAGAATGAGAGGACTCTGAAAAATGTCACAATTAGTATTGTGAATTACTCATAAAGCTAGCTCCGAAGTAGGCTACAGCCAAAACTTAATTTTCAAAATCCCTGCGCTGGAATTAATGCCCAGCTTTGAAGTCGGTCGGAGCCGGAGCCACAAAACTTCAATTGCTCTCAATCTACAGTAATCCAGTACTGCAATTAAACATACTTGACGCTGTTGTTCTACAACATTCCCTGAAATTGTGTTAAGTTGCTGAAGTAAATATTCTGCAGACAAATTGTTTTCCTTGGCCCTTAGTAAAAGAAAAATTTTCTTTAATAATCAGATCCAGAGAAATTACCAAATATACCCTTCCTCATCCAACACAAGCAAAGAACAGCCCTTAGAGCTTGATTTAATGCGTTGGACAACCTTTTAAATTTTAAAATAGTTTTGGATTTTCCAAGTAAAGTACCTCTTTGTGAGATAACCCTTCAATAGATTCACCATTTACCGCCAAAATGTGATCTAAGGGGCGTAGACCAGATATCTTATATTTTTAAATTTATTTTAATGAATAAATAAATTATTTAATTTTTATATTTTCTCTAATAGTACATTAGAATGCCCATTGGAAGTTATTTGAAAATAGAGGTAGCAACAACAAGTTGCCATGTTTTTCTTTTCTTTATTGAAGGAAATTACCGGAGAACCGCATTTTTATGAACTCCCCATAATTGGGGAGTTTCTGTGAACCCCTATTTTTGTGAACTCCCCATTGAACTCCCCACCTTATTTAAAAGTTAGATTATCCAAAAAGTCTTTATTATAGGGTTATATGTTCACACGAAGATAGATTTATTCAATTTTCAAAAAATTCACCTCTGCCGGACTTCCAACATCCACAGCCCCAACAAATTGTCCCTTTCCCATTTCCGCATGTAAATCAAATCCATATTCATTAACTCCTGCGGATTTAGTTAATATACAAATACGGGGTAATATTTGGTTTTCTTCCATTATTTTTTAAAATTTTCTTGAAAATAATTTTAAAATTAAATTATATGTAGAGAAGAGGAACTTTTCCACGATTAAGTTCTTAATGTTTTGAGTTCATACGTACACGGGCACGATTTCGGAAGTTGTGAACGTCGGGAATTTCCAAATTTCTCTGATATACAAACAAACTCTCGTTATGTATACCTTTTCTACTTATAACTACATTATGGTGGGGTGCAGGGATCGGCCGGGTTGAGAAAAAAGTTGAGTCGGGTTTTGGGTCGGGTTTTTCAAAATTTTCTTCGGATCGGAGTTCGAGTGACACGGCCCATCCCAACTGGGGTATATCTACAAGAAGAGTAAAGCACCATAAAGTTGGCATTGCTCTTAACCAAAAAAGGGAAAGGCTGAGTAATAACCAGTGCAGAACAACGGACAGTTCCTACCAGCTCTATTAGAACTGGATTAATCCTAAAAATAAGTCCAATATTCCTTTAAACTATCCGACAATATTTCGGGAAAACCTCAACGAGAAACGGGGCGATTTTCTGCCTTATCATCCGTTTGGGTTTAAATTTATATTCCCTCGCCTTTAAATTAATTTTTTGTTTTTTCTGTAATATAGGGTGGGAATTATAAGAGGAATAAAAATAAGAAAATTATTACAAAAATAAAAATGAGATGATTCATTCCCAATATTTTTTTATTGGAATAATACATTTAGTGGAGGTGTAAAAAAAATTATTCCACGTAGATATTAAAAAGTGTCAGTTACATAAAGTGGTTATTTTGAATAAAAGAGGGTTTAAATTAAATATATTAACAAAAAAAGATTGATTGTTAAATACAAAAAATGACAAGAGAGGATTCGAAATTACTTCAAAATGTGTATGGCTCCTGAGCAAGCTTAGGAGTAGTCGGTTACGGCCAGAGCCGCGCTTAATTTTGAAAATAACCTGAGCTGAAGCCGAGATATTTAGCTTCCATTTGGCGAGCGGTTGGAGAAAGGTTGTAGCCTGAGGTCGGAGTTAAGCCACAAAACGTTAAATGGTGTAGAAAAATAAAGGAATATACAACTGGACTTGATTCAAACTTGCATGAGATAGAGATGGTCGAAAGTTTTTTTTGTTAGGTAGGGGTTTAGCTTTGCCCAAGGCAGCAAGGAGTCTGGTATCAGTTAACAAGTTTTGTTAACAAGCACCGTCTAATCTCGATATCATGTATCCAGGTTAAAGTCGGCTCAATTCGTTCTCAAGGGCGACGTTTTATCGAGACTTCATTGTATCTAAAATTCTTAAAAATTCCCCTGTATATAAAAGTAGAAAGCCTTCGTGGCTGTCTTAATTACCCAAAAAAGATAACAAAAAAGATAATGAAATTCAAGAATTTTTAAAAATTAAATGTTAAAAAGTATTTAAAAAGAGTATATGTAACAACAACAATAAATGTTTTATTTGTTTATAAAGAAGAGGTTTGGTTAAGGAACGGCAAAAATAAATGTTGTAGTGAATGAGTGATAATAGAAAAATTACAATAAAAATATATAACAAAAATTGATAACTAAAAAAATTCTCCCAAAAATTTCTCCCAAAAAATAGGAAAAAAAAGAAAATAAAGGGCCTTAAAAAGAAGATTATTTGAGGCAAAATATTATAAAATAATTATTGAAAGTCAGCAAAAAAATTAGAAAGAATAGCCAAAAATTAAAAAAAAAATTATTATTGATAAGAAAATTAATTTTATTGATAAATTAATTTTGTAATCAAAAATGCAACAAGAGCAGAAATTTTAGAAGTAAAATACCTACTAGGGTAAAATGACGTTTGTTAAAAGAAAAATTTTATAGAAAATTATAAAATGATTTTTAATATTTAATTAATCTCTTTAATGCATTTTGGATAATTTAATATACCGAAAATCCTATAAAATAGTCCCCGGAGGCTATTTTTCGATCGACCTCCAAAGGGAGGCTATTTTAGAAGATTTATGGTAATACATTCAAAGGATGAACACGATAAACTCGGATAGAGATGAATTAACTGAAACTGTAAGATGAAGCAAATCCAAGTCCTTTACTGTGTAAGTCGAGTCTCTCTCCAATAAGTAACCCTCGGACGAGCTTGAGCAGACGTATGAGGGAATGTGTTATGAAGGAGGCAGATCAAGTTAAAATATCTCATCTAAACCAAACTGATAATGAGCTGACATAAGAGGAAGATTGCTATAGGAGGGGACGCTATGATAATGGGCTTTTTCACTGCATTTATCAAGTCATCATGTAAAGAAATTTTTGGAAAAAAAGCATAAGTAGTTTTTCTTGTAAGGCAAAAATTAGTGCCTCCCGAATTTAGGCTCACAACATGACGGAGGATGTTACAAATCTCTCTTATCATATACTGAAAATCCTGATATAAGAGACTCCTAGCAGATATCGTTCGAAAGATAGCGAAAATCGGGAACGCTTATCTAATCTAACTCCCTATGCAAAGTAAATCAGAAATTAAATTAGTAGGAAAACTCTTATTTTAAAGAAACTATTAATTAATTAAAACAAAAATAATATATAAATATAAAAATATATATTAAGCAAAAAAAGTAAAAGCAATGTGTTGAAATAAAAAAGGAGAAAACGCTATTGAGAGGCTCTTGAAAAGCCATAAAAGTGCGAGAAATAAATTTTTTGTTTATAAAAATACGGAAAAGAAAAAATAAAAATTATGAATCAATTTATGGACATTGGGGTGATTTTTGGAGGATGTTTTTTTAAATTTTTTATCCGAGTTATTTCGGTTATATGTATTTAAGAAAAAATTTTCATTGAACACAAGGCTGAGCAAACTGAGGAAAAAAAATTTTTTTAATCGTAATTAACAAAAAACAACAAAATTTCATTCAGAGCAAAACGAAACATTAATTTTTCAAATTTCGTTCACAAAATAAAGAAAGGCACGAAGGAGCGAAACGAAATTTCGACTGGCCCTCGATGCCTATTGTGTGGCACTCTATTGTGTGTATCAGTGTCGTCTCGATTCCCTAAGTATTCTCAAAACCAGAAACTGAAAAATGCGGGAATTATCAATTCTAGAAATTCTAAATTTATTTTTTACGTCGGCAGGATTCTTGGTAAATTAAAAGAATATTTTTTTGTGTTTAAATAACCCTTTAAAAAATTTTCGGGTTAATGGAAAGGAAATTCTGGCAGCAAATTAATACTGGAAAAATTACTATATTTTTTGCGTTTTTTAGTAATTTTTGATCGAAATTTATAAATAAAATAAAAACTAAAATTATTTAAGACCTTAAAAATAATTAAAAATATTATAACTAATAAAAAATCAGGTGGTTTTTATTAACTACCAAGAAAAGGTGACAAAAGATCCCAAAAACAATAAATTATATTTACTAAATAAGAAGCCAATATTTTCTTTTAATAATTATTTTTGTTGGTCAAAAATAAAATAAAAAACAAACAAAAACAACAAAAAAAATAAATTTATTGTTTTTGGGATCTTTTGTCACCTTTTTATTTTTTAGTAATTTTCTCATGACCTAATCACTCATATTTTTTCTTACTTTTTATTAAAAATAAAAAAAATTATTTTTATTTTTGCGCAAATATAACGGAACCTGTGGAACAGAAAATATTTAAGAAGGAAACAATTTTATACCTCAACAAGTTTTGGGGTCATAACAAGAAAAAATGAGAGAGAAATTGAAAATAAAAATTTTGTAAAATAAAATGTTTTGGTTAAATATACAAATTAAAATACCTAATCTTAATAAAATGGGCAGACTTTCAATTAAAAATATAATCAGATCTTTGTCTTAAATAACCCCTAAAAGCTTCGCATTCAAGAACGAGGGTTATCTAAATTCGGAACGGGCCTGTTGAGCGTGGCCGTTTGAGCGTAGCCAGTTGAGCGTGGCCGATTGAGCGTGAAGACAGTTGAGCGTGGGCCAGCTGAGCGTGGGCCGTTTGAGCGTGGCCAGTTGAGCGTAGCCAGTTGAGCGTACCTTGTATATTGGCCGGTTGAGCGTCAATATATTATTACTAGTGCCCGGCTCCGGACCGGATCCGACCGGATATTTCCAGAGTCCGGGTCCCAAATCCGGGATTTTTCCGATTTCCGGATTTTTTCCGGACCGGATTAATCCGGAAAAATCCGGTCCGGCTCTAATTGCAAATCCGGAATCCGGGTCCGGCAAATTTTTTACAGCGGATTTGTGACTTACAACATTTTAACACAAAAATTAATGAAATTTTTTTTTGAAAAATCCGGAAAAAACCGGAGTCCGGTCCGGAATCCGGATAATTTCTGCCGGACTTTACCGGATTAAAACAGGACACGATTTTGTTTCTGATCAAATTAATTCTGCGTAAGACAAAAAGTTATTTGGCTACTAAGTTTTTATGTTCTAGTTTTAGATTTCCGAATAATTCTTTCGGCCACATAGGCATTTGTTGTAGTTATTTTAGGTATTGACGCTCAACTGGCCAGTTATCAAGGTACGCTCAACTGGCCAGTTATCAAGGTACGCTCAACTGGCCACGCTCAAACGGCCCACGCTCAACTGGCCCACGCTCAACTGTCCTCACGCTCAATCGGCCACGCTCAAACGGCCACGCTCAACTGACCCCAACCGATCTAAATTTGCTAGTATTTAAAATTTAGGTCAAGCTATAAACTTTGTTTTAATTAACTTATTAAAATAAACATACTGTATTCCGTTAAACAACTACTCTGAATAATCATATTTTCCGGTTTGGGGTCAGTTGAGCGTGGCCGGTTGAGCGTGAGACGAAATCTGAACGGCTATAACTTTTTGCTGCTTCATCCAATACAAATGAATCATATATCATTCGAAAGCCTACGATAAACGCTATCTTTTTTCCAATTTGATAGATCAAGTCTGATCGCTATTTAAAAAGTTACAAGTCGTTAAGTGTAAAAAATCGTTGTTTTTCACACTTATCGACTTGTAGCTTTTTAAATAGCGATCAGAGTTGATCCATCAAATTGGAAAAAAGATTGGACTCGTCGAGAGCTTTCGAATGATATAAAATTTATTCGGATTTGATCAAGCTTAAAAAGTTATAGCCGATCAAATTCGGCTCACGCTCAACCGGCCACGCTCAACTGGCCCGTTCCGCATATTTTCAACATCTTGTTATATTGTTATCGAAGGAGGGCAATTAATCGAGTTTTAAAATTTGAACATTTGGGGGCATTTAAAGGAGGGTAATTATTGTTTTAGACTCTTACTGAATGGGGTAATTAATCGGAGGGAGGGGGGTGGAGGTAATTGGTAGAGGTTATAGGGTATTTTGAAACTTGATTTTTGATTTGATCTTTTAAATTAATACATATCAGTAAAAGTTCTATATCAAGTCTCGGAGATTCTCAAAAATTAGACAGCCTCTCGGATACTACAGGTCTGGCATTAAGATGAGAAATATAAAAATGTATGTCAAATAGCAAATAGTAGGTAGTTTTGTATTTTGGATTAGACTTATATGCAAATCAGATTCCAAAAAAAAAATTTTTTACTGGGACAACAAAGAAATTAAAAAAAGTCTAGACAAATTTTTTTTAAATTTTTATTATTTTTAATCACCTCCTCTATCCTTCTAGAAATAAAAAAAATTTCTGAGACACAAAATCAACAAAAAAATTAATAAAAATTTCAGTGAAAAATTTTCAGTCAAAATAAAAATAAATAATTATTTTAATCGAAAAGTTTAACAAGAAAAAGGAGAAAGAGAGGTGTTTTGTTTAAAATAATTTTGAGGTTCTCGAATGATTGAATACTAGAAAGGGGGATTAAACACACATTTTTTTGTCATTTTTATTCACCCATTCTCACATTTTTTAATTTTTTTTCAGTGGTTGGCTGATTTTGGGTGTTTTTGTGATTAAAAAATAGGTGGGGGTAGTTGTTGATGGTGATGGAAATTATGCAAAGAATTTTTAAGTAAAAATAATCTTTTTTTAGTAATAAAACTAAAATATACATATGTATGGACATATAATTTTTGAAAAATAAAAAATAAAAAGGACTTATAGGTGTTTAATTAGACCCAATAGGAACTATCAAAGATGGAGATCACTCAATGGCTACTTGATTTGACTCAAACAAATTTTGTGATATTTGTTTGTATACTAGAGCTGTCCGAGACCAAAATTTTTCCAAGACTCAAGACTCAAGACCCAAGACAAAATTTTTTCCAAGACCAAGACTCAAGACCAAGACCAAAACTCCAAGACTCAAGACCAGAAATCAAGACCAAATTTTTAAATCCCATAGGTCAAATTTTTGGTTTATTTTTTGTTATTTTGATACGATCAGTCAACTTCAGCACAATTATCTATAATTTCGAAAAATTTATGCGAAATTCAAAGAATTTCGGGGAATTTATTCGTGTGGAAAATCAATAAAATAGGTTATTATTTCAGAGGATTTGGGTGGATTAACGGGATATTAGTGATATCAAAGGATTAAGAGGGATTGCCGTGGGATTTAGTGAATTATGAGGGATGTCGTGGGATTTTACGTCTGGAACGCCAAGGTAAAGCCAAAATTTTGGCGATACCCAACGTTAGCCCCCCCCCCCCCCCATTCGAAATCGACCCCCTGGCTACGCCCTTGGATTAAGGAGGATATCGAGGTTTAAAGGGGAATTTAAGTGGATTATGAGGGATCAAAAGGAATAGTATGAAGTTGGGGGGCCTGGGTGATTAGGTGATGGTGGCTGCTGATATCCATCCTCTATTTTATCCCTATCTTTTTGCGCGCATGCGAAAATTTGTACAATTTTGGAAGGCCAAGAAGCCAGAATTCTTCATTTTCCAGCGCCGCAGGCGAAAATTTTGGGAATTATGAAGGCCGAGAAGCCAAAAATCTTCCTTTTCCTGCGCCGCAGGCGAAAATTTTGGGAATTATGAAGGCCGAGAAGCCAAAAATCTTCCTTTTCCTGCGCCGCAGGCGAAAATTTTGGGAATTATGAAGGCCGAGAAGCCAAAAATCTTCCTTTTCCTGCGCCGCAGGCAAAAATTTTGAGAATTTTGGAAGGCCGTATGCCAAAAAAATTCACTTTTTCAGCGCCGCAGGCGAAAATTTTTTGAATTTTGGGACTCGAGAAGCCAGATTTCTTCCATTTTCTGCGCCGCAGGCGAAAATTTTGAGGATTTTGGATGGCCAAGCACTAGGTCCAAAAAGGCCAAAAAACCAAGACCAAAAAATAAAACCAAGACAAGACCAAGACAAACACCCCAAGACCAAGACCGAAAAAAAACCAAGAAAAGTCTTGGTTCCAAGACCAAGACCAAGAGTCTCGGACAGCTCTATTGTATACAGTCAAATTACGTGATCTATTTATAACTTTTGAAGGAATTTTGAGAAAAATTTTAGTAAAAAATAGTGTGGGGGGGGGGGGGGGGTTATAATTTGGCAGCAGAGTATTTTAGCTTTGTTGGAAATTTTTTGGCATTGGTAGTAAATTTTGAAATTTTTGTCGAAAATTTTATCGGAACAGAAAAATGTCCTTGAACTCATTCCACTCCCTCACACAAATCTCGATTTTGTCTTTTCTAAATTTTGGAAAATTCGAAAACATTTGAAACCCAATTAATGTCTAGTCGAAAAGCAAAAACCAAAAAACTTTTTTTCATAGGCAAACTACGAATGTATATTTATGACCTTCTATAAAATAATGGTCATAAATTCTCAACCAAACCACCACCACACAATCCATTCATCCCTTCCTTTCTTCCCTCATCTTCCCCCACTTTAATTTTCTGTCCACAACAACCATTCATTTTGGCCTCCAACAACGAAAAATCCCCTCCTCCAAATCTATGCGCAATCCAAGGCATTTATCGATTTAATTTTGTAGACAAGGAACCTTTTGAAGGAAATTTTTAAAAAAATTTTTAGAAAATTTTAAAGACAATTTTTTAACAAATTTAAATATTATGGACCTCATCTCTTCAGAACAGAGGCATTTATTAAGCATTGGAAGAGTCCCTTTACTTAGAAAGCGAAGCGTTCTTAGACACAAACTTTTGGACAAACTTGGGGAGAGGATAGAAAAGTTTTGCGATAATTCAGGTAAATATTTAAATAAGTCAGACCTCTCTATAAGTACACCCTCAATAATAGATTAATTCCCCTGCTAGATTTAATTCCGCACGATTAATTCCCCTGGGGAATTATTTTTTCAACTCTTCCTTGGCATGGGGAATTAATCGAGGGAGGGGAATTATTCAAGTTTTGGCATTTGAACGTGTAGTAGGGTATTTAGGGATGGGGAATTATTGTTTCAACCCATCTCCAGCATGGAGAATTACTCGAGAGGGGGAATTATTCGAAGGAGAGGAATTAATTAAGAAAATACGGTACCTCTATTTAGGATACCTTATAAAATTTTGATTGGCCACTGGGTGAGGGAGTTTTATAAGCGATAACCTCCATTTAATATACATCTCATTTAAGGTAAGATTTTAGAATTCATTCTAAGATACTCCCAATACTAGATAACTTCTATTTAAGAAACCCTATTAAATTCAAATAAGCTTCTGTTTGCCTACTAAGGCTGGGAAGCTGTCTAGGCGATACACTTTATTTAGGATACAGCATAAGATATGATTTATTGCCATCTTATAAGGGATTCAAATGTATTGAATAAAAATTAATTTTTTCCAATTTAATTAGATAGTAATTGGTTTTTGATTTTTGGAATGCCTGGTTGTGGCAAAACTCACTTACTTAATTCCCTATTGTGGGAAAAACCAGAAGTAAGCCTTGCACTATTTGATCGCGTTATTTGGTAAGAAAATTTATAAATGTAACTTTAAAAATGTCCAAGCGATACCCTATATTTAATGTAAAGACATGGATTCATTCAGGATTTGCTTTGGATTTTTGGCCACAAGCAGAGATTGAGCTTACCCGATTCCCGAAAATTTCAAAAAAATATTCCGAATCGTAAATTCCCAACGTTTTTTAGTCCCAACGTTCCCGAAATCAGAAATTTATTTTTTATCTCGGCTAGATCCCTGGCCTAGCCTCAACTTTAGCGTAAAATATCGAGTTTAAAAAAATGCCTGGACCCATTGGTCCTTAACATTTTTGCCCTTTGAAATCAAGGTAGTTCAATCAAAAAATAATTATTTGAAGTTTAGAATAGGTTCCCCAAAGATACCAAAACTTTATAAGCCCCTTAAAACGAGAAATAAAAATTTTCTACCAAATATTTTTAAAAGGCTAACAGATCGCCGAATGGATGAAGAAGGTCCTCTAAATTTGGCAACAGATTGTCTTCTAATTTCTTCACTTGATTCAACTCAAAATTTTACTGAAAAAAGAGAAGAAATAATTCCAAAGGATGAGGTTGATATGATTCAAGTAGAGACTGAAGGATTGTTTTTGGGTTCTTCCCAAAGTCTTTCAATTGGAAATAAACTTAAAATGTCGCTTGAAAACATTCCAGTAAATTTTTAAAAATTGATTAAATCAATCTAATTTTAGAAGAAATTTTTGTTAATTCTGGATGGAGTGTTAAAACCCGAAACTGTTCGCTTCTTTGATGAATATAAGGTAGTGTATGGCAAAATCGCATTCACAGGAAACGGGATTTTTTTCAAAAATTTTTTCGGACGGGATTAATTCCGTAAATCCCTAAATACCGATAATTTTGCTTGTCGCTTAAAACACTAGATTTCGGGAGGGAATCCGTAAAATCCCGTTGGGGATCCTGTGAAGACTCACGACTATTAAAGACTCACGACTTGCACTTTATGGGAGATTAAGGTTCGATGCCTGACGGCAGTTGGTAAAGTCCACATGTACTAATAGAAAGCATAAATTACGGACAAATCTTTCTGTGAAAGATCCTTTCATCCTCCAGTTTGTTACTCAATCTAAAAAATTTTTGTTGGCAAAATTAAAAATTTTTTATTTAAGCCTAACAACTGTAAAATTCTCGCAACAAGTACCAGCAGTGATTTGTTTACTTCAGTTGATTATTTGGATATTTTTAGATTGGAAGGGGATGATTTGAAAATTAGTGAATTGGGACAGTTATTGAGAAAATTTGGATTTGAAGTGATTTTAAGGGAATTAAAATTTTGATTTTTAAAATTAATTTAAGGAAAATTTTAATAATGAGGATTTGACTGAAATTATTGAAAAGACCGGTGGAAATTTTGCTTTAATAGAAAAATTAGTGACTTTGGCTAGAGGAAATAAGGACCAGTAAGTCCACATTTTCATAATCAAACATAAGAAGGGTGGTCAAGTAAAGAATTTTGAAACAACTACTAGGCGCGTGTCTTTCAATAAAGAAGGTGAACGTTCCAAGTATATCAGTCGATAGAGAACCTGTGCGTGATGAGCGAACGCTCTTAGCAATAACGTCGCAGGATAAACTTTTCAGTACTATATGAGGATGCCAAAGAAAGTTAGGTAAAATTCCACCCTTTCTGTAGGCCTGTTTTGGGAAAAATTTTCCTGAAAGCTATGGCTTGTTTTAATTCAGTTTTCTTTAAGTTCAGAGTTTTCATATACCTAAAACCCCTTGCTCATTACTAGACCTCAAATAATTTTTTCTGACAACAAAATTAAAAATCTTCAATTTTTAGCATTCAAATGCTCCTCTCAGAATTTTCAACTTCTCGACGGTCACTTAATGAATTTACTTGCAATACCCCCTACCCTTTTAATAATTTAGAAGGCTCTATTAGACAATGCCTGAAGATGGTTTAAATTTAAAAAAATATTTTATCAATTTTTAAAAGTTAAGTGAAAGTCTTTGTCGAAGCTTTGATTTTTGCAGTGTTTTGGAACCTTCGGCGTGGACACCCTTTGAAGTGATTTTTGGAAATAAAAAAAAAATTTTTGAAAATTTTTCTAGGTAATTTCCCTCATTTGGCCTCTCGACATTTGTGGCAACGAAACAGAATCGCATTTAAAATCACTTATATCCCATCAACTACAAACAATTGTTTGTAATTCCATTTTGGATGATTTGCCTAAAAACAAAAATTATTCGTTTACAAAGTAATTACTTCAAAATAAATTAATCATAGATATTTCTGATCTTAATTCAGTCTGAAAATTGTCGTAAATATTTTCGACGGTCCCTGTTCCTGAGATGGATATTTTTTGAAAAACAATACCGTTGCCTTTCCGTAAATTATTCGAAACAAATTCTCCCTTGACAACATTTAAGAACTTGCTTACACTAATCCCACAATGGATCTGTGTTGAGTGTCAAGTGTTTTGTGGAAGGGCACGTGACTTGACGTGACACGTGACACTCACTTGACACGGATGTCATTTTAGGAACAGCCTTACACTCCGAATCTGTATCCTTCGGATCGACCAAACTTCCCTATATAACTCAAATATTAACCAAAATGAATTTAAAAAAGTAAATACGAATACAAAATTAAACCTGAATATAAAAATTAATTTTATAAACAAATAAATTTTAATTTTTTTTCAGTTATTTCCGACTACAACCAATTATTCACAATTTTCTTCTTCACAGTAGAACAAATTCCTACAAAACTTTTATTGTAAAATTTCTTTGTTTAATTTAATTAAAAAAAAATTTTCAGAAAAGTAGTCAAATATTAATTTCAAAATTAAAACAAAAAGAAAAAGAAAATAATTCTGTTGGAAACAATGAAAATTCTGATTTTTATTATTTTTGTTTTGCCCAATATTTGGAAAGGAATGAGCAGAGATTAATTAAACTTGGAAATTTAATTGGAGGAAAAGAGAAGGTTTTGGGTTTTAAAGGAAAATTGGAGCGTTGATTTTGCGGACAGGATTTTTTCGTAAAAATGTCTGCGAAAAAAGGCCGCAAAAAATACGGCTCTTGTCCAGATTACGCGTCCAATTACCGTATAACCTTATTAATTGCCCTCCCTCAAATAATTACCCAATTTCCATTAATTACCCCATCCAACGATAGATTGAAACAATAATTACCCTCATCAAATGCCCTAAATCACGTTCAAATTTCAAACCTCGTATAATTACTCTCCCTCGATTAATTACTCCCCCCAGCAGCAGGTCGAAACAATAATTACCCAGGGTAGTTATTAAAAGATATACGGTAACCTTTACACGTCTAATGAAGTATGCGTCCAATCTACGTTAATAAGTAGCCGATTCTGCGTGATTGGACGGGTATTGTACGAGTCTATCATAACACTGGATGAGCAGACTATTCCTAGGGATTTCACGGTACTAAATTGAAGAACCGAGTAAAACACCCTCGATTGGACATAAAAATTGATTGGACGTATAAGTTATTCATTGGACGCGTAAAGATTTGAAGGAGAGCAAAAATAGATGGCCGCAAAAGTGACGCTCCAATCTATACTCGTGCTGGAAAAATTTTTTTTTAATTTTTAAAAATTCTAAAATAAAAGTTCAATTTAAGTCATCTTTGCCCAATAAAATGCTCAACGTATCTGTAAATAAAACAAATCTTGGGAATGAAAGAATAAATAATAATAAATTTAACATTTTCGCTACCAATTCTTTTTCACGTTTATTTCAATCATTTTGGAATAAAAATTAATTATTTTTAGAGATTTTTAACGTTTAAAAGTCGAGTTTTGAGTAATATGTAACCAAGGCTGACAAAACCCGAAAATTATGAAGAAAAATTGTGGAAAGGTACCAAAATATGGACTGATATTGATGAAAAATTGAGGAGAATCCAAATAAAAGTTCAGTAGTTGCCAGTTTTCCTCAGCTTTAAACACTTATTGTTGGGTTACCGTATTTACTCAAATAATTACCCTCTCTCAAATAATTACCCCCTCCCTAATAATTACCCCATCTAGCCAAAGATCGAAACAATAATTACCCTCCCTCAAATAATTACCCCCTATTTTTCCTTAACTAATTTAAAAAATATTTATTAAAAATTATCGAATTTACATAATAATAAAACATTTTACCGATCAATATCAGGTAATAATCCAGACATTAAAAGGATTTAGGAAAAAATCGATGATTTTTGTGGATTAAGAGGGAAATCGAGGGGGAGATTTTGTAAGAGATAATAGGAGATTAAGAAGATTTAAGGGTATAGGCCTTATTCCTTATAAGCCTTATTACTTATATCCCACAAAATCCTAATAAATACCTTAAATCCTTGATCGAATTTGTGCCTTTATATATCCCAAGACGGAAGTATTGCCGGTATAGTACTATTCTGAGTACATTATAAAGGATATATTAAAATAATAAATATTATATCCCCATACTAGGAATTATACATATTTACATACATGCCCAATATGTCTTTATATATCCCATGACGGAAGTATTTATGTTATAATACCGTTTTGTGAAAATATTAAGGGGATAATAAAGCTAAAACGCAACTTTTTATCTCCGTATTTGGTAACATATTGTATATTTTTGTTCATAAGCCTATGATAAAATAAAAATATAAAGGTCGAAATAATAATTGCCCTCTCTCAAATAATTACCCCCTCCCTATTAATTACCCCCTCCAGCGAGATATCGAATCAATAATTACCCAGGGTAATTATTTGAGTAAATACGGTATTCTAATTCAGGGTGACCCTTTACCAAGGGGGGGGGTGGGGGAAGTTGCCCGCTTTTTGACTTCTTCGCCCCATTTTCCCCCTATTTTCTACATTCCACTTTTTCGACCCATTTTGTCCCGTTTTTGAGTAGTGGTGATTCGGAAGGGGTCACTCTGTTTTATTTATTTTGGTCAGTGAAAAGAATTCCTAATTTTGGGACTAATTTACTATAACAACATTGGATTGTTTTACTATAAAAGCCCCAATGCTTTTCTTCATTTCCACCAACTCTCACGACCCTTCAAACATCTACATCGTCTACAGCAACAAATCTTCATGCCCGTCAACTGCCTTCTTCCATCGGAGCTTGACACCGGACCCTGGACCAGAAAGTCGTCAACGCCGTGTTCTCTGCTGCTGCTGCTCACCATCGCACTTGCAGTTCTTGGACAGGCCAACAGCGAAGAAGTCGGATTTGGCAAGCACACAATGATTAACAACACCACAGTGTTGCTCGCCGACAACACCGTAACTTCCGACAAGTTGGACTTTGACCTTGGTAGTTGTAAATTCAAGGAGCTGTATCCGGACGCCTGCGATGTTTCAATCGAAAACGGCTACATGTGAGGAATTTTTTATTCTTTTTTAAGACTAATCGTAACTAACATTATATCTTGTTTCAGCGAGCTTCGGTACAACTATGGCAGCAAAGGATGCACTGTGGATCTTCTCAGCAAAAACGCGTCGAACATCAACACGATCAAGTTCACGGCCGGAGTGCGGAACCCAAAAGGTGGAGGTCTCAGCACATGCCTTGACGTTGGTAAACTAGACGGAAGCTATAACAACACGTGAGTTTTTACTTCCTTATTCTATTTGACTGTTAATTTAGTTAATTGATCTTAATTTCCATAGTCTACCTTTCGCCTACAGCGTCAACAACTCGGTCATCGAAAAGCTCAACAACCGCCAGTACAACGATTCAGACGCAAAGTGTGAAAAAGGTGCTTGCGGAGACATTGATGGAAAATGCATGTGGAATACATCACTTCAAGTCTCATGGAGCCAGTTGGGTGGCAAGGTCTATGCTCACACATATCTAAGTAAGAGGCCTGTTTGTTTTTATTTTTTCTTAAATAATTTTAGTTGGCGAAGATAAGGGACGAGGCTTGAGTCAGTCCAAAACGCCTACGAGTGAGAATATGACCCTAGACTTGGTGCTAAACACTGCCAGAGGATTCACGATGAAGTATGCAGAGGACAAGGTGTTCAATGCCTCGGATGGAGCTGTCTGCGTTCCAGGGTCAACTCCTCTCTTCGAACCCAAGGCATGGACCATCTCGGATGGGGAGCACAGTGGCAAACATCTGCTCGTCTTCAGCCTGCTTCAACAGAATGCTGCTTATACGTACAATGGTGACAAGCTGACAGTGCCTCCGAACGGACCGAATTGTGAACTCTTCGTACGCTTTGTGAGTTATTTTAAATTTTTTGTATAACCTTCATAATATATTTTTTGTAACCTTTTCCAGAGTACATCCGACTACAGCCTGCTCTTTGTCGACAACTATACGACAACGACGCAGTCGACTACGACTACTGTAACGACCACAGAAGCGAAAACATCAGAGACGTCTGGAACGACAACATCTTCAGCGACAACTCCGCATACCACCGCTAACAACTTCACTTCCATCAGAACGACTTCTCAAGCAGCGACAAAGTGCCCGGAACAGCGGGAGTGTGGCGGAGCTCCCTACATTGCAATTGGCATTGCTTTTGGCCTCTTTGTCGGGATCGTCATTGCAGTTCTGGTCTGGCTCTGGATGAAGAACAAGGCAGGAAAGGATAAGAGAAAGTGGAAGCAGGACGCCGAACGTGCAGAAGAAGATCGTCTGCTTGCGCTGTACAAGGCTGAGGAGAAGACCAAAGGCAAAAAGGTGGTCGGAACATTTGCTGCATGGAAAAAGAATGTGAGTTTAAAAATTTAAGATCATACATTTATTAATCTAATTCGATTTTTCCACCTTTTCAGAGAAAGGAGCTGAAGACTGCGGTGGAGCTGCCTTCAATCGAGAACGAGGTCGACGCAATCTGGAAGAAAGTGGAGAAGAAAAAGGCCATAGACAAGATGCAGTACCTTGTAGACCAGTTCGAGAAGCGGAAGGACAAAGAAATCTTCGAGCGGGAATACACGCCGGAACTGAAAAAGAAGGGACTTGCAGCTGTTGGGTCTTTCGAGGAGTGGAAAAAGGTGAAAAATATTTTTTAATTTCTGTTTAAAAACTCAACTTATCCCACTTTTGATTTTTCAGAACAAGAACATTGCGGCGACGTTCACCTTGAACGATGGGACAAGGACGGCGATTGAATACGAGCAGCCAAAGGTCATCGAGAAGATCGTCGAGGTTGAGAGGGTCATCATTGAGAAGCCTGACGAGTGGACAATCGAGGAGAACCCGACAATTGAGGAGCAGGAGAGATTGGCGGAGATAAAGGCGGCGAATAGAGGCGCTGTGGACGGTGTTGAGGTTCCAATGTCTGAGGAGGAGCAGGAGGTTGATGAGAGGTGGATTCCGCCGGAACCGAAGAATAACCCGAAAGAGGAGGATTGGTTGTGATAAATTTGTGTCACCATATATTGTTCTCTCATTGTATGTATTGTATATTTCTTGTTGTTTGTATTGTATTTGAATTGTTGTATTTCATTGTATTTTTTGTGTAGATAAAATGGTTATGCGTGTTTGTTTTTTTAGATTTGAAAAATTGGGAAGTACCCATGGAAGTAATAAGTACCCATAACTTACCAAACTCAGAAATCTACCTTAGATAATATTCTGAGGAACAAGTACAATGGCAACTCGAGTAAGAGTTTAGCACGTCTTTTTGACCAGAGACCCGACCCGAGCAATTTTCCAATACCCAACCTGAACCCCGTCATAACATGAAAAGAGGAAATCTGGCTTATAAGCCTTCCAAAATTATGAAAATACAAGTTAAATCCATCGATATCCCACCATATCCACCTATATGCCAGTACTTGCTGGAATTTTTGGGGTATGATTTTCTTAAAAAGACTTTGTATGTGATGAATTCTATTAAATTTTCGAAAAATTTTGTTCGAAGTTTGGTAAAAAATTTAAGTCTTCAAATAAATTAGACATCGAAAAAAACCCCGGGGGTCATTTTGGAGCAAATACGGTATTTGCCTGTCGAGGCTTTTAACGGTTGTAAAATTGTTAACAGAATCTGAAAGCGATCCCATTGCATAATAAATTTAATTACACCACCAAAAAACCAGAAATAAAAACTCAAACTATTTTTTTACGTAAAATTAAGGATTAAAGGATACAATAAAATCTGACAAAACCTGTTGAGACAAAATATCCCAAAATTATTATTTTTTATAATTTTTATTGTTTATTAACTTAATATTATTACGCTTTTTTATTAATTAAAAAAGAAAGATTAATAATGCTGATAAGTCGGGAGCAGGTTGGGCATAAAAAGAAGAAAAAAATCGACGCAGCAAAAAATCATTGTTTTTGGGGGATAAATGAAAAGTGAAAAAATTATATTTTTATTTTTTGATTTTTAACCATTTTTCTAGTTATTCCCTTTTAGAAAATGCATTTTGGTTTTATTTTTATTTTATTTATTCATTTTGTTGGTGCTATAGAAGTCCCTCCTGGGCTAAGACCGGCCAAGGCTGTGGACGACCCGGAAAAGCCGATCGTTCCAAGATTGGAAGAACAACAAGAGGGGGTGGCAGAACAGCATGAACAAGTTGGGAAGATTTTTTAGCTTTTCTGAGTTAAATGTTCCCTACGCAGTACTTGTAGTGAAGTAAAATAGAAATTCCAGCCTATTTAGGACTGAAGAATTAAGGAAAATCTTTCGACCCCAAGATCGGGCAGGCTTCGACCGCTAGATATGCTGTTCAAAAATAGTACATTAGGATGAAGAAAGTAATAAATCCGGCCTGATTTTCTTGCATTCTTTCCGATTTTATAGTAAGATTTATGGGCGGGAGCTCACTTACAAATTAGTTAGCTCCTATGACCTTCTCATTAATCTAACAGTGGAAAGGGAACAATGCTTTTCCTGCTATCTTATTTTATCACCAAAATATTCTTTCCACACGGGAAGTTGTTAAATTAGTCAAGTTTAAAAGCTTCAAAAAATAATTTCAAGTCGAAAAAAGGTTCCCTTTATACAGTGCGTCCGTAAATTATACGACCACCTGCATTTTTTATAATATCTTATCTTTGATATGATATTTTCACTTCTTTTCTTTTTTATATTAATTAATTATGTATTCAGAACTTGTTAGCAAAATTTCATTTAAATATTATGAACCATCTCTCAGAAAATTAAATTTAATTAAAAGTAGTTGATTTCAAAGCGTCCGTAAATTATACGACCACCCTGGATAATTCTGTATTAGATAATAGGAAAAATCTACAAAAAATTTTCAGAACATATCTATCAGTATACATAAGAAATATAAAAGAAACTAAGTTGAAATATAATCCCTTCATCGAGATCTCAAAATCCGAAAATCAACGGAAAATCGAGGTGAAGGTCTTTAAAAAATATTTTCGACCCCTTATGGACTAAATTAAATTTTGATTTTATACTTTTCTGAAAGCCCTTTAAATTTGCTATAAGAAATCCTTATTGTTAATAAATCGAAAAATTTTACTTGGGAGATATTCAGGGTTAAATTCAATGGACATGAAAATCATTAAATCTTCCCCATGAAATGCCTTTTCTTAGCAACTTAGAAATTTAATGAAATACAACTTAATGAAAAAAATTTTCTGTAAAATAAAAATTGCAGGTATTATAGCAAATTTAAAGGGCTTTCAGAAAAGTATATTATATATATTACTTCTTGTAGTGTGAAGGGAACATAAATTTTCCTATTAATAAATTTTTATTTTTTCTCATAGCAATCTGCTAAAGAAACAAGAAATTCACAATTAGAAGATTCAGAGAAGGATGAAGAAAAAGTTGTTTTTGAAATAAAATATAAGTAAAAAATACGTAAATTTTAGAAAACAAAGGGCAACGACAACAAACCTTTAATATTTCAAAAGAAAGGAAAAGAAAATAAGAAAAAAGTAAATTCATCGCCGACAGTTCAAGGGACTGGTACACCTGTTGTTCAGCAAGTTATAAGGGTACCAGTTTTAATTTAGACTCTTTAATTTAAAAAAACAAAATGTTCCCTTCGGACTACCTATAATGTGAAGAGAACAAAAAGTGTTGTTTACACTCACTACCAATAAATAGTTAGGGTTGGTAGTTCCGAATAGTTCCGGATATCTGAAGAATTCCTATGAACCGCTTAGAGAAAAAAACCTTCTGATATCATAAAAAATAAAAAACATTTTTTAATAAGAATTAAAAACGAAAATTTAAGCCAAATCAAGAGGAGCAGGAAGGAAACAAAGGCCAACTATCCACAAAATTTCCAGTTCGGACGGTGATATTTTAAAATACTATGTAAAGTGACAATTTTATTTAGATACCTCCGCCAGCCGGAAAAGATTACGGAGTAAATACACTGCTACAAACAAATCTGGTCGACTCCAAGGGACGTGTTCTTAAAGGAGTAAGTAATTAAGATTGAGTAGGATTGATAAGTCTCACGACTTTTTTTGATAATACTGTAATAGATAATACTGTACTATTTGAATGAAATATAGAGCCTACATTCGCCCCCCTTATACTTTTTCCTAACTACCTTTTTTTCTACTCACCCTACCTTATGTCGCTCACCCTATCTCCACCCCAACACCACATACGTCCGTCTCCCTCTAGCTCATGTCCCCTTCACACTACCTCCTATTTTCCCAACTTTCCTTCTGTTCTCCTCACACTACCTTAGGCCATATTCTCGAAAAATTTAATTTTCTACAGGTCAGTTCTGTTCCTATACTCGTTCCAGATGTACGTAACGCAAAATCAAGGTAGCCAAAAATTCTTGACAATAAATTTAATAATTTTATCCAGTCGTGCCTCTGCAAGCCGTGTAGAAAGTGAAGCAGAAAAGCCAGTACAAATAAAATTCAGTGGATAAACCGAGACTACTTTAATTAATTTTAATTGTTTAATTTTAATTTATAAAAATATATAAATTTATACAAAATTAAATTAAGTATATAATCGCATTATCGATGTTTTTGGTGAAAATTTACTTGAAGGGTTACTTGGAACAAAATTTAGACTGATAGAAAATATTTAATAGAAAATTGCGTATATTGAGATGTCAGAAAATACAAATTTAATAGAGGGTATACTGTAATCTCTCTATTTTAAATTGTCTAAAATCCTGTCATTTGAAGGTCCTTGGATTCCCTAGATTATATTCTGAAAAGGAACATCTGGGAGCAAGCCCAGCATCTTAAGGTAGCTGAATCGGGCCATAGGTATTTTACCTTAAGCTTATCCAAAAGGATATTTAGGCGGCTGGGAGCAAACTCAGCATCTTCAGTTAATCAAAATATTGTCATTAATTATACCATGCGAGTGTATATCCTAAGAAATTAGATAACTGATTTACAAAGAGGTAGGGTGGAGGGAACATATGGTAGAGTGAAGGGAACATCCGGTGGATGGAAATTAATTCAAGGAAGAATGAAGGAATCCAGGATTAGGTAAATAGAGAGTATACAGTATTTTGCTTCAATAAATATAAAAAGATTATTTTTATAATCAAGTAGGGGGCAAGATTAGATTAAAATGTAATAAACGTTAATAATTATATATTAGCTATTTTTAAGAATAAAAAAAGGATAAGGTTAATGAAGAATTCTTCAAGTTTTACAAAGTTTAATAAATGTGAAAATAGCGCATAAAAATAATAGAGACAAAACTTGGACAGAGAAAGGCAAACTTGAAAAATAAAAATAAACTTAAAAAAATAATAAACTTTAAAGATTAAACTTAAAAAGGCAAGTTTGTAAAAATACTTAGGAATGTTTTTCTTTAAGTTTGCTAATTTATTTTCTTCTCCCCCTTCTTTTATATTTTAGTTACAACTTGTTGTTCTTCTCTCAGTAATAACAATCTTCGAATTTTTAATGAAGCCTGTTCTGCCTCTTGTCGGACACTTTTGTTGTAGTCACTGCGAGAGAGAAAATCAAGACAAGTTAGGGAATTCTCTGCCTGAAAAATTTTTTGAAAAAAATTTTTCTTTGAAAATTTTCGAAATTTTTTGTCAAAAAAATTTTAAAAACGTTGCAAGGACTCGAATTTTTCTACCCCTAAAATTTTTCGAAAATCACGAAAAATGGGGAGGCATGTAGGTATAAAATTAGGCAGCCTCCTATCAGTACCAGATCACAAATTAAAAATAAAATTTGCTGCACGGACACAAATGTGACCAGGTTTACTCTACTGACCTCTTTAAATTAAACTAATAAACAAAGGTGTGTTTTCTAAGGAAAAAGACTTTTTAATATGCAAAATAGGGAAGATTAAAAGGTCAGTTCTTTTTTAGTTTAAATAATTGTGTTCTCTATCAAAATTTACATAGCGACACTTTTAAATTTATTAAATAAATTGGGTTATATATACAATTTGGTTTTGATCAGAGATGTGGATGTGGTGTGTCGGATACACACGCGGAGGCTCTGGCCAGTTTCAGACGGAACTAGCAAATTGGTTTACAAAACAAAAAAGTTAGTTGCTGCTATGCGAGGGCGAATAAAAGGCCGTGGCTAGCCCTGGAGGATGAGATCAAGATCTTGCCGACAAAAGGCAATCTTGTCAACAAAAGGCGGCTTCGCCGTGCACTTTGCGTGCAACTTTTGTATGGAGGTGTGCGGGGCATTAAAATACGCACAGTGGAGGTGGATGGAGTAGATCAATTATATAGCAGTTATCGTTCTGTGTAATGCTGATTCAAAGCCGGTGATGCAGCCACATCCCCAATTTTTTCGAAAAATTTAAATAAATTTACCCCAAGAATAGCCAAAGCACGGCAAGCCCCTCTCCTACTAGCATCATTTTCATGTTCTAATAAACACATGAAACAGGCAGATAAATCAAGGGCTAATTCTGGCGATGCTTTGCGTAAATATTTTTCTTTAAATTGAAAATTTATTTTGGAATTTTCAATAAACTTTTACCTATAGGAGAATAAAGTTCTTGATGTTGCTCAGCCAAAACAAGCCCAATATGTCTTAAACTTTCTAGTGGGGGAACAACAGGAACATTCCTAAGACGTCCCATTACATCTCTAATAGCACTGGGTAAGCCTGATTGGAGGTTGGCAGTAATCCAGGCTAGAAATTTAAGAAAAAAATATTTTTAATAATCTTTGACTCTATGAATATTGAAACAAGAGAAAGAATCTCTGATAATCTGCTGTGTTTTGGGTATTTTTTGGCTTCGGCGACGGCTCCGGGCCTTTCAAATTCTTAGCTCCAGCTCCGACTCCGGGGGTTTCAAAATCCTAGCTCCGGATCTGCCAAAGTCATAACATCACTGTTGATAATCCTAAGTAAGGAGGTTTCTTCTAGTTGAGGATTTCCTTATAAGCCTCCTTTCATAGAAGCCTCCTTTCTTAGAAGCCTCCTTACCTTTCTAGTAGACCTCATAAACTCTAGTTAAGAGTTAGGAGGATATTGGATGCTGAGAGCAGACTTTAATGAGTGTCAAACGAGAGAACGCTCACGGAACGCCTTATGAAAATCGAGATCGATTTCTCGAATGATATGTTAATCTCGATAACTGAATTTTTTGTCTGAGATCTCGTCCCAGTCCAATATTTAATATAGGTACATGATGGTTTCATCTATACCTTCATGAGAAAGATTTTCGATAAAAGCAGAGAATTGTTTTCCTCTAAAAAGTGATACAAATTGAAATATTGTAACGGGTAATTGATGATTGTTTGATTGTTTTTTCCTGCCAGTTGGATTATCAATAAGTAGAGAAAAAAGAGAATCCAAAACTGAAAAATGTTAAGAATTATTTTTATTTAATTTTCAAATATTCAAGACTCAAATGTACTCAATTGACATATACTAAAGGTCAACAGTACTTGACATGAGTAGCGTAACTTTGTCTATGATCCCTACCTTCATGTCGTGTTTTAAAACGTTTTTAAGGTAAAGCTTGAAGATTAGGGTTGGGGTTTTCAAGTCGGGCCTTCGTTTGAGTCATTTTTTCGGGCCTCATTTTTATCGGGCCGACCCGACCGAGTCTTTTTCGGGCCAAAATTCAAGGCCCGACTCGATCTTTCGGACCGGGCCGGATCGGGCCCCCAACCCTATTGAAGGTACAATCTAGAGCACAATTTTGGCAAAATGGATTTTTATTGTACTAGCAATCCTCGACAAAATTTTTAACATAATTTCCCTCAAAAAATCACCTTTTTCGATCAATTTTGGATAATGATTTCTAACTATAGGTTCACATATCGGTCTCAATTTATCCCTTAATATAGAAGCTGATGCAAGCAAAAATTCATTTTCAGTTTTGCAGGCAGAGAGCCAGCATTGTTGTAGTTGGAATTGAAGGCCTAATTGGAGTAAAACATTCTGTGGATTTGGTTGGCATTGAGCTAAAATATCTTGTAGAAGGCCTAACATTGATTCTAATGCAATTGTTTCAACACCCTTAAAAATTTTAAATAAAAATTTTTTATTGAAAATTTGTATAAGCATTAAAGGTTAAAATGGGAATTGAAGTGTTTTGAAGTTAAATCAAAGGAATTTTGGTGACCAAGACGTTTTTTCATAACTTCTGGTAAATTGGTATTTTTGTCTGGATTATTAACGATAACAAGAGGTGTACCTTGAAACTGATTTTAAAAGCCAAGAACACGGGAGATTACCTAGAACATTAGCCAGTAGCAAAAGTCCCATTTACGATAGGTTCTTCCAAGATGGTTGGTCCCTTAACAGGGCTGCACGCAATTGCGGATTGCGAGTTACGGATTGAGTAGATTGTGGGGGTTTTGCAATTGCGAGTTACAGATTTTAAAAAGAAATTGCGAGTTGCGGAATTTTTTTCAATTGCGAGCAGCCCTGGTCCCTAAGGTTTGGTAAGCTTGTAATATGTATTCAGTTTCCGGACTCAAATAATTTTAGCTGGTCAAATCTTTCTCTTTCGACTACGGAAAGTATCGTATGTATCAACAAATTTTTTTATTACCTCCATTCTGCAAAGCATTTTAGTCATTGTATATTCAAACGGACTTCCTTGTACTTGACATATAATCTTTTTAAAAATGAATTTTACTTTCATTTAAAACCCCCAAAAAACCTCTAAAGGCTGTCTAGCCCCATCCAAATGAATAGCTAAACAAGCATCCATTTGAGCACTTCCTGTAGCTGTAATCATTACCCTTCTTTCACTCTTCTCTTTTGAATTTTTTAAATTCTCCCCATTTTCATTATCCAACATTGTGCTTCCTACAAGCGATTTTCTCCTCTCTTTTAACTTTAAATATTTTTTAAAATTATTTTTATAAAGCCAAAAGCTCACTAAAGGATACGAACAATAATATCTTCACCTCTATTTAAGAGACGTTTCTAAATTGAGGTTCCACTGGGTAGAGGCATTCTTCGATTATAATGAAAGGTATTTGGGGGTACCTCTATTTAAGAGACATCTCGTTATAAAATATAATTTTCCAAGTGTGCCTTATAGTGAGGCTCGAATATATTTAAAAATGTTTATCCACCTGAGAGGATACAATACAATTCCCTTCATTATTTTGTTCCAATCTTCTGACAGAGCTGGCATAGGAATTATACGGGGATTGGTAATGTCGAAGAGAGTCGATACCACTATCATTTTCAGAACTAGAAAAATAAAATTTTAAACAATTTTACAGAGGAGCGGAATATCAATTCATATCGACACCTTTTGGATTTTATCGTTTACTTTTTTAGAAACTTCAATCGAGTCGGCCATCGCGCCCAGGAAAACTCGAACAGTCCGGCTCAATAAAATTAATCGAACCTGATCTTAGCTTTGATCCAAAAACGGAAATCAAAAATTGAAGTAGGATGGAGACGAGGTTTCGAACAGAAAACTCCAAGAAATTTTCTAAACTCCAATTCAAGCCCTTAACCCTAGCAACCCAGACAACTTTATTCAGAAACCCCTCCAAATTAATTTATTTACATATGGTCCAAAACATGTTGCTGATGTCTCTGTTCATATTTAATAGTTGAAGTACCAGCAACACAACCATCATTATCTTCTGTATGGTCAGAAGCTGTAGAAGGGCTGTGTTGTTGTTGTTGACTACTATTTCTATTTTCATTTGAAAAAAGAGTTGTAGCCGAAGAATGGTTGTTAATTAAATTTAAATTTCCAGTAGCTAAGCGATGTTTTTGTTTTTTTAATTGAATCGAATTTTGACGTTTTTTATTATTTTCTGTTTTTCCTGTAAAGTTGTCTAGTTGACATAAAATTCCGGAACGATTAAGTTTAAGGCAAGCTTCCCAATTGAGCATTGCTGCTTCAAAAGCGACTAGTTCGGTGAATTCTGATGATCTGCAACAGAAGAATATTAATTTATTTTATAGTCAAAACTTCATTATAAGATAGGGCAAATATTAGATAAACTTTTAAGATAATTTTTACAACAACTATTGGGCGGGGGAAATAAGCCCATTATAAGACGTTTCCCTCATACTTCTAGGTGAGGGATAGTCTAACAATTTAATCTTATAGTCCTATAGTAAGGTTTTTAAGAATTTTTTAAACATAAATTTTGTCAAATTTAAGCACCTCAATTTAGCCAGATAAACACGCAAACATTCAATCATTTCAAGCAAAGCATCTACTGTATGAAGTGCACTTTGAAATTCACTTATCTCTTTAGTATAAGAAGAGGAAGTAGTTTGAGATAAAGGGGAATGAAGATCACGACTTTTTGGGCTAAAAAGAATCAAGAAAATATTGATAGAATTCAAGTAAAATATTAGGAATAATCTAGTAAAATGGTCTCGTCTTAAAAAAGAGGCTGTGGAGTGTCAGTGGGACTTCGGGACGAAATTTCTTAGGGAGGCCCTACTTTAGTTGTGAAATTTATACCATTTCTGCTGCGTGGTACCAGGGACCGAGTAATAAGTTATCGACCCCCCTGATTTGACTTTTTTTCTCAACCGACCCCTCCTTGTTTTGAGAGCTAGTTTCATTGATAGACCACAAATAAGTCATGGGTGGAAGAACAAGAGTACTGATTTTATAGGAAGGGTAGGAACAATGCAAAATTATACTTAATTTTATGGAGAAAAAGATGCTCGTTTCCATTTTTTTCAAAAATTTCTCCACTCTAAAAAAATTTCAAAAAAACTTGCCTGCTTGTCCCCCCTCTACAAAGCCCTTCTTCCCTCTCATTTTCATCAAACTCATCAGGTTCTTCAGGTTCCTCAACCTCCAGACGATATTGACTTTTATTTCGATTTGAACTCTTCAAAGAATTGCTGTTCTGTTCAATTTCCATAGATCTACTTGAAGGAATTTGTGCCAAACTGACAGATTTTCTCCAATCCGAAGCTGTTTGTCTATCCAAAGAGGATTTATCATGCCCTCCTCTCTTGACAAAAGAAAAAATTCTTTTAGCTCCGCTGCGAGCTCCATGGCCATCAGATACGGAAGAGGAGGAACTTGGACCACAAAAATTATTTTTTGAGTGACCAAGACTGCCGCCACAAATACTTGAAGGTTTGGAGGAGTGAAGGGCGGAAAGCTGAAAATATTTTTTAAAATACTTAAAGGGTAATGCTTCTTCTTTTAGCAGCTTTACCTAATTATTGGACAACCAGGGGTCGGTCGGAATCCCGATTTACGAAAATTTAAGCTGATTTCCGACCCAGACTTTTGAGCCATTTCCGATTCCGACAGTTCCGATTTCCGACACTTTCGTCACTTCCTACCGACCCCTGTGGACAACCAAATTATAGTAAAGAGTAGCCATCTTAAATTAAGGTGTAGTAAAGCAGCTGGGCTATAGCTATTTCTCTCCTTTAGCTAATGCAAAAGGTTATTCGGCGGCTGGGAGCGAACCAGCATCTTCAGTAGACCGGACTGATGTGTTAGCCATTACACCACGCCGCCTACTGCTCAGCCTTAGGAAATTAATAGCTATATGCTTTACACCTCCATCCCCAGGGAAGACTGTCCCTAGTCTTCTTATCTGCCCTCTTCCCGCTTTTTCTCTCACCTGCGGGGTAGCTTAATCATCGCCTTCTCTGGCGGAATTTCATTTCTCTAACCCAGGGCCTATGGGATGGATCGTCATACGTTCAGCATTCGCTGAACCATCCGGTGCTACCAGTAAAGCAGCTGGGCTATAGCTATTTCTCTCCTTTAGCTAATGCAAAAGGTTATTCGGCGGCTGGGAGCGAACCAGCATCTTCAGTAGACCGGACTGATGTGTTAGCCATTACACCACGCCGCCTACTGCTCAGCCTTAGGAAATTAATAGCTATATGCTTTACAGTGTTATAGTGTTGGGGTCATCTCTTAAGAGGACTGGGGTTAACTGTTAAAAAAGGATGTATCTATAATTCGAAGTATCTTAAATCGGGAGTATCGCTTAGGTAGCTTAACAAGCCATGGTCAACTCATAATGGGGGCATTTAAAAATAAGGTTCTAATGTTAACAAAATATGGAGACATAACGCCATCTCAAAAAAAAATCTAAAATTCTTTTATTTTTAAAGAAATATTCACATCATCAATAGTCGGAATAGACTTTGACAAGTCTTTATAAACTTCATCCAAAAGTGTAGTCGAAGAACACCTCCATTTGTCCTTTTCTGTTTTGCTCGATTCTCTACTAATTCCTCCACCTCCCCCATTCCCTAAAGCAGCCCCAACACTTGCACCAAGTTTTAAACGTTGTTCGCGTTGTCGTTTTTTGTCGCGAAGGCAAACTTTAGTAGCAGGTCCATTTTCTACTGTTCCATTCGTTGTAATGGATGAAGGGGAATGTTCAGAAGGTTGGTGGACATCTAAAAAGATTATTTTAAAGTTTTAATTAGAGACCGGACTGGGAGTGTCGTACGGTAATCAAGATCTCGAAAAATTCTCGATCACAATAACTGAGATTTTCGATCGAGATCTCGTCTCGGTCCTGTATCTAGTTTTAATGTTTTACAATTGTATTTCATTTTTAAAGAAATAAAACTAAAGTTTACAAGTTAGTAATTTACAAGCTTCAAGTTTGCAAATTAAAACTTTTAAGCGCTCTTTTAAACTCGAGTTTGTAAAATAATCGTTTACGCTTCCCTAAAATCTTAAATTTACAACGTTTTATTAGGTAAGGGATTCCCAAATAAACTCAATTTCAATTTTTTTCAAATCCTCAAGGATTCACAAGTTTAGCTTTTTTAATTATGTAATTTTTACCGTTTGATCTTTTAAGTTAATAATTTTTAAAATTTATTTTTTTACCATCTAACTTTCCACCATTAATTTGTTCAGTATTATTTGTTGAATTAGCTTGATTAATGTTGTTAGTACTATTATTGTTTTGCCATGCTGTTTTATTATTATTTCCAGCTTGGGAGGGAAAAGCTGAAGGAGAATTACTGCTAGTAGTTCTCCAAATACTAACACCATTTTGTTGTGTTTTTTGATTATTATTGTTTACGGATGGTAGGAGAACTTGGGATTGGTGTTGTCGAAGTTTACCGTTTATTGCAGAACGTTCTGGAGGCTCTGGTCTAAATAGAAAATTTTATTTACCTCTACTATAAACTCTAATATAGCTAACTCAAAAATTTATTCCTATATGAATTATTTTTTCTAGGGAATAAAATTAATGGGACTTGTGGCATATTTTACTGGCATTTCAAATAAGACCTAAAAAAATTTTTATACAACCCCTAAGGTAAGAAAAATAAGCAGCTTAACCCCTGCTTTTTCTTTCAAAAGTTTTGTGTGATCATTAGATATTTGTGGTCGGAAAGCTCGAATGCACTAACATATTCGGCTAATTTCACACTCTTGAATAAATCCCTACACCTCGGTTCAGAGATGGTTTTCCCAAATTATCCTAGGGATTACACAAAAGATAATTCTTCAGGTAAATTAATCAAGTAAATATGATAATTCCATTTAGTGTTTTGCTATTTTCTGGGAGGGATGCCCCTCTTACTTTAGATTTGCTTAAAAATTTTTTTCGAATCCTCTCTACCTTTGTGCCAACGAATTTTGTTGGGATAAGGAAGCATGATTATTATTGTTGTTATTAAATCCATTTTCTTTAGCTTGAAGTTGTTTTTGATTTAACATATTATTAAATTGTGTAGGCATATTAGAAGATAGTAGAGGCAGCCAAGTCACAACCAATCTCAATTTTAAACTTCCAGAACTATTTAAATTCATCGTGACCAATTGGGGCTGTGCTGCCGCAAACTTGGCAGGGTCAAATTGCCGTTCAATGAGACAGCGAGCTCGAAGGAAGCCTATCTCGAGTACCCGAACCTGGACAGGCACGTTCCACAAAACTTGTATAGAGGCTATTGGGGGCTGTAAGTCCCAACGTTGTGATCTGTCTGGCTGTGTTTTTCCGCGAGTTCGCCAACGTTGGTGGCCGTGACGAATGCAAACTTCGAAAACGTCTCCAGTACAGATGCGAGCAAAGCCGATTATTGCTATATTAAAAGTTAAATTTAGAAAATACACTTGGACCCCGCTTGTATGACACCATGACTTGCATGACAGCCTCATATAACGAGACCATAATTTTTATTTCTCCCTCCTATTTTTATCAAATTAATATTTCCAACTGTATCCTATCCTAACGGAAATATACAAAATTTTATTTTATCGAAACGGAACGTTCATTAACTATTATGAGGTGCCCGGGATAAGGTTGGCTTTTCCAGATGTTCGGACCTTAAAAGTCATATATATATAAGAAAATTATCGGTCGGATATCGGATCTGCGGATCTGGACATTCGAAGATTTTCCGAAATTCGTTAACTAGTCTAAGATAGTTTCTTGAATATCCAAAAATTGAAACCACGGGAAACCAGAGAATCTTTAGTGTAGTAGGGGTCGAAAAAAAACGTTTGTCGCTTAGTTATTATCTTGGCCAAGAAAAAATTTTTTTCCGAAATAACACTCACCCTGAACATGAAACTGAAGCCTTCCCAGCATTCCACACGCCTCAGCTTCAATCGCTCCCATTTCTGCCCTTATAATTCTAACAGATTCTTTAGGAAGGTCTTCCTGTTCAATTTGTTTGTTGCTAGTCAAATCGAATAAACTTTGACTTTTTTGGGGTTTTCCAGTGAAAAATGGTTTGTCTATATTTAAAAATATTTTAAAAATTGATAAAAAAAAATTTCAAAATTTTTTATTTTAAAAACTAAGAGTGTGAAGACTTCAAAACCTTTTTTTATTTTTACAATTGCTCTATTGTATTAATTTTAAGTTTAGAAGGGAGGGGAAAACTTTTTTTGTTAAGAGTAAAATGTCGACGTACATATTTAACAATAATAAACGATGGGAATACTTTTTGGAAATAAACAATATAAAATAAAAATTTTTATACAGAAAAAATTTAGAAAATAATACTAATAGAGCAAAAAAATTAATCGTTGGCTTTTCTCTTCATTTTAAAAATTTGGGAAAATTTTGGGGAACTGTTATTTGCAGATGATCAAACTAGGTACTTGCTTAAAAATCTATTCAATAGGCATAGGTTCTGAAAAACAATGACAACTTCATTCGCAAACTTTATTTCGTCTTACTTAATACTAGAGTTGAGCGGGATCGGGATCAGGAAAATTGGGATTGGGATTCAAAAAACCGGTATACTCGATCCCGATCAGGATTCCGATCCCGCCCAACTCTACTTAATACTGTCAGACCTCAATTTAAGTACGCCCTTAGGTAATAAAAGGTATCTTAATAGGGTTGTATATAATCAGGCAATTCATCAATGTTCACAAACCAACCCGTATCTTAAATTAAGCACTAATTTTAAAGACTATACTATTTATTTTAAGATATCCCTTAGTCATCTTCCATCTAGACAGCCTTCCCTCTACTAATAATTATCATCAAACAACTCACCAAAATTTTCAAAATTATTTTTCCCACAAATTCCAATTTTGTGTATTTCACTAGTAGAGGAAGCAAATTGTTGTTTTGAATATAATTTTTGTCTTTGGGGTGATGGACATTTACAAAAACGTGAAAGGGAAAAAAGCTTGAATGTATTAGATAGGCGAGAGGAGGAATTTGTATTTAAATTGGTGTTGTTAATAAATTCTGTTGATTTTGTTGGGACTAGAAAAAAAAATAATGGAATGTAAAGGAATTTAAACAATTTTAAAAGTTAAACGTGGAAAATTATATTTACATATTTTTTGAAATAAAATTTTGAATAAATTGATTATAACCTCTATTTACTAGTTTCGAAATAAGAAAAGGAAGGAGTGTCTTTTCAAGGAAAAAGGGGAAACGAGTCTCGAGCTGTGAAGCTATATCTTGAGAACGGTGTATATGAGGTAGCTCAATCATAGAAAAAAAAGCTGAAGTTAAACACGATTAATAGAATGCCTCGATATAAATATAAAAGGGGATAAAGTCGAATCTCGATCAAAGTCATCAAAAAGGAGCATGGCTACTGATAAAGAGGGGCAAAAAAGTGCCAAAGTATAAAAAGGGAGAAAAAAGGGGCAAAGAGATTAAAAAAAAAAGGAAATACCCAAAATTAAGGAAAAAGTGCTACCGTGATCTCAATAGAACGTTTAGTAGAAAACGAATTTTGAAAACGTAAAGTGACGTTAATTAATCGAGATTAATCGAGATTTGATTATTAATTCGACCGAGATCTATCAATATCACAAATCGTACTTTAAAATTATTTCCCAAAAAGTATATATATATTTTGTCAGAATAAATATAAATTTTTTATTGCCCCGTTAATTTTGAATAGCGCAGCATCAAAGAGAAAAAATCACCCATTAAACATAACATTGAAAATAATAAAAATAAAAAAAAGTGAAGGAAGTTGCCGTCTTTTTATTTTATTATTTTATTTATTTATTGGTTGTTTAATATTTATTAATTTATTTAAACAAAATAAATTTTATCAAAATTTGATAAGAATTTTTATATTTTAATTTAATTTGTGGCATTTTGTCGTATTTACAACGGTGTGACATTTTGTCGTAATCTTAAAACTTGAGAGGGAGGGGGACTTAGAGGGATAAAACATGGGAGATACATAAGTTAAAGAGAGTCTTTTAATTAGAATACAATAAAGAATTGAAAATAAAATTCAAAAAAAATTTTTTTTAAGGGAATATGAAGGATGATTGATGAAGAGTTGATTGGAAATTTCAAAAAAAATTTAAAAATGGATGTTAAATTAGAAAGAGTACATATATTAAATTAGGTACTAGAGATCGAGCTGGGTCTAAACAAAGGCCTTGGCTTTTCCTGTACCCAGAGTCTAGGCGTAGGCATTTTTTGTCCTTCCTGGGTTTTCCTGGACTACATACAGGCCCAGGATCTGGCCAGGTCAATAAAGCAAATCCAGAACCCACGAACAGGCCCAGGTTTTCAAAAATCTCCATCTCTATTAGGTAAATATAATTAAATTTATAGAGGTGGATTGAATTAAATTTAATTAAATTATTAAATTTTTTAAAAAGAGAATTAATTAAAATTTATTTATTTTTAAGTAGTTGACTCAAGAATTTAAAAAATTCAAAACAAATAAAATTGCGAAAATATTTTTTTAAATTAATTTTTATTAAATTTAAAAAGGGTCTTTTTAATTTAAAAAAGGGTACTTGAAGAATTCCTCTCTTCATAAAAAAATATTTTTACTCAAAACAATTGGGCAACAACAACCCCCCCCCCCCCACTTAATTAAAAAATTGTAATAATTTTTTTAAGATTTTCAAGGTGCGCATTAACAAAAAAGAATAAGAAAAAAAGTAAAAAAATAATGACACACAAACTAGGCAATGGGGCCGACAATACCCACAGACTATACAATAAAATATACAATAACTATAAATATTTTTGTGGACGAAAGAACCAAGCCATTAAGTAAAATTAAGGGAGATTCGGCGCAGGGATGTTACGGCGCGCGCGTAAATAGAAAATTTAGGGGTGAACCTAAAAATGCGAAATTTTGTAGGTTAATAGACAAAAATGTTTTCTAGGTCTGTTGTAAATTTCAAAATTTTCGGTTTTGTATTTCCAAAGTTATGGAGAAAGGGCGAATTGTTGTTGTAAAGGCGTTTTGTTGTTTCAACAACAATACGCCTTTATTCATAAAAAATTAAGGGGTCAGCCCAGAAATTTGAAATTTTACAGAAATGTCGCCAATAATGAAAACTATGTTGGCTATAAATTTCAAAATTTTCGGTTTCGTATTTCAAAAGTTATTGAAAAAAAGCTAAATGTTGTGGCGACAATACGCCTTCGTTCATAAAAAATTGGGATTACCGATAATTTTGAGATTTTGTAGAAATATCCTCGATATCGTTAGCTAGTTTCTCTATAACTCTCAGAAAATTAAGCCTGGAATTTCAAAAGTTATAACATAAATATTGAGCAACACTACGCTTGTTGACTTCCCCTTTGCGCCAAACAACCCTTGCGCCAAAACATCCTTTCTCCCTCAACAATAACAATAGCGTTATAGCGTTGCGATTGTTTTGTTTGAATATAAGCAAAGTAAAAAGAAAAAAAATTTTTAGGTTTTTTGTTTGTTTGTGAATATAAAAATATAAATAAAATGTACAACAATAGTAACGGTTGGACAATAAAAATGTAAAAACATCGATTGACATTGAAAATGTAGGTTGGTTGGTGGGTGATTTGGCCGATCAATTTATGCAAATTTAATACAAAAAATTGTAAAACATGGGAGAGACATTTTTAAAACATTAAAGATGAAAGGATAAAATAGGGGAAGGAAATTTGAATGAGTGATCGGTCGGTCTGGGGATTTTATTTATCCAAGTGACAATACGCGAGTATGTATGAGGCAATGCAAGCTGGGGCAATGCTTTATGAAGCAATGGGAATCAACCTTGTGCTATTAAATAAGCACAAGGTTGATTCGGACGTTTTACTCCTTTTTCCGGGGTTTTTCGCAGTTTTTGACTAATTTTAAATTTAGTTAGAAAACTAAATGGCTAGATTTTATCTTTTAATTACACAGTTTGGGACGAAAAAGGTGTTTAAAATCGAGGGTGTATTTAAATTTGATGGTTAAAATAAGAGAGTGAACTAAATTGAAGAGGAACAAATTGAATCTAAAATTCAGGGTGTACCTAATTAGGGTGTATGTAAAAATCAAGACTCTTAACAAGTCCTTTCTCGCATAAGAAATCTCATTTCTAATCAAACTGGCAAATTTTCAGTCATTTTTAATCAAATTTGCCTAGCGAAATCGAACCAAGAATGGGTTGGGTTACCCAAAACCCGAAGTTTTTCTCAACTCAACCCATCCCTAATTCAAACCTCTCTTGACTAAGAAAAATGGATGAGAACTGATTCACTATTTCCTAACTGGCCCAGATTGCAAGTTCTTTTAAAGCCTTTGTAATTTTTAATAATTCCCAAACCAAAAAAGGTCATTTTTTCAATTTTGAAAAAATGATTTAAAAGAAAATTTAATTAACAAAATTACCTAACACCGGAACTAGCCTCCTTTAAACAGAAAAATTTTCCTTAAAATAGAAAAGTGTTTAAGGATGATGATGATTTTCTTACATTTAATTCCCCTCTTCCCTATTTTTTCTTTTATTTAATCATTTTTATCAGTAAAAATGAAAATAAAATTTTTTAATTAAAAAAAGGAAGCATTCCAAAGAGATTACACAACGAAAAATTTAATAGGAAAAATTGAAAAAATAAAATAAAATCAGGTGAGATACACAGGTCCGGCAATTTAAAAAAATATAAAAAAATAAATAATTATTTTGAATTAATTAAGAATAAATTTGACTAACAATGTTAATGAGATTAATGAATTTCTATCTAAGAAGAATGAGGAAGAACTGATTAATTGAAAAAAGGAGGCTGAGATGTATGAGATTTTTAAGATTAGCTAGACAGTGCTACTGCAAACACAAATATTTTTTTAGTCGAACCAAACATTTCTTAGTTAGATTATTGTGTGTTCCAGGGATATGCCGAAACAGATTTTAAAAAGCGAAAGGCGGAAGACGAAATGGCGGTTTTAACGGCGGTTTTAACAGGTATCATAACGATAATTAGGTGACAATGGTAGGTAACCATCGTCAGGTGATCGAGTTCTTATGATGCGGCTCCTGGTGTGTTCGTCCAATTACTGAAACCGGAACCAAGGAAAAGACTGATTTTTAGGAAGCGGAAGAACACTACGTGTTTAAAATATAAATAAGCAATTAAAAATCAAAGGAATTTCAATGAAGTAAATCACGGCTGAATGACAGTTCATTTTTCTCAAAATAATTGTCCTTATTAGCTAAACATTCTAAGAATTTACAATTAAATTTTAAAGGTACATGAATCTGACAACCTTCAATAAGCTTAATTTTACTATAAAAGCCCTGTTGTTCGTTTCATTCTTCCCTCCAAACACAACAAAATCTTCAATCACTTCAACTCTACGTCAACACCGTCCAAACAAACAACAAAACAACAACGCTTCATGCTCTTCTGCCTCCTTCGTCCAATGGACCACAACACCGGACCTTTGGCAAGGAAGTCGACAACGCTTTGTGCTCTGCTGCTGATATCCATCGCCACGCTCCTAGTGCTTGCAGTTCCTGGACAGGCCACCGTTGAGGAAGTCGGAGTCGCCAATCACACCTTGAAGGAAGATGGAGTGACGCTCAAAGTAGGCAGTAAGCAGGCCAGCAAGGACTTGAAGTATGCCGTGTACAAGAAGCAATTTTCTACTGTCTGTAATTTCTCAATCACTGACGACAATATGTAAGTTGATTCTATTTTAAGATATGAGGAAAAGACGTTTTAAACTTTCCAGTAAGCTTCTATACGAAGGCGAGGGGTGCACTGTGGAGCTGATCACCGATGGGAGGAGCATGATCAATTTCACAACTGGAATGGAAGACAGTAAATGTAGTAAACTGGAAGACTGCAACACTGGCGATTTTCGGGATGGTTTTTCAAATCTGTAAGTCATAAGATCCGATTAGGACAGTATAGTAAACAAATTTCTTTATAGACTACCCTTCGCCTACAGCAGAACCAATAAGGAACTCGAAAAGCTCAACGAGAGTCCGCTGTATGATGATCTTGTTGTGTGTGGTGAAAAAAACAAGTGCGAGAAAGAAAATCAAAAGTGCATGAAGCATACATTTCTTGAAGTCTCATGGAGTGGATGCAACGAGGACAATATTTATCATGTATACGCTCACACTCATCTAAGTAAGATCAAGATTATTTTTAGTTTAAAAATATTCATTTTAGTTGGTGAAGCGGAGAAAGGCTTGGATCAAAAAAGACGAGGTGGTGATAAGATGGAATTCAATCTGCGCATAGCTGATGATAGCAGCTTCACAATGGATTTTGAGAAACCTGCAAAATTTGACACCAAAGTAGAGTCGATTAGCTGCGTTCCAAAAGAAAATGCCATTGTCAGACCAGAAAAATGGAAAATCAAAAAGGGAGTTGGAGACCTGGAGGGTAAACATCTGCTCGTCTTTCATCTACTTCCGAAAACGGCTACACGAACATACAAAAAGAACAAGTTTGAAGGAAAACCTGCGAAACAAAAACCGAAATGTGATCTCTTCATTAGCTTTGTAAGCTTTTCATTTTTTACAAAAATTCAACTAATTTTTATTTTTTAGAAAAGAGGACTCTACGAATTTCTTCAAGTCGACCCTCCAACAACGACTACAAGCACAACTACAACAACAACCAAACCAAAACCAGGTACCAAACCACAACCACCACTACCACCTGGAAAAACAGCTCCAACGCCACAAAAGGTGGACGGAACTACAACAAACGTGCAAGGAGTTCAAGGAGTACAGGGCACCGAAGGAGGAAGCAGTATCGTGATTTGGATAGCTGTGATTTCTGTGGTGGTGATTGCTGTAATTGGCCTCAGTGTCGTCGTCTTCTGCTGTTACCGGAAACATAAAAAACAACAAAAAGAAGAGAAAGAAGAGCGGGAAGAGAAGGTACTTTAATCTTAAATTAATGGCCGTAATCTTTTTTTTTTTACTTTCAGAACTTCTGGGCCAACCTTGGAAACGACACGGAGATTGCTGAACAAAACATTAAACGCTCTGCCGCAGAAAAGCCTTCCTTGGAAGCAGAATTCGTCGGGGAGATTTTCGACAGGATGAAAAAGGAGGATACGGACAACGCCTTAAAAAGCGAAAAAATTCTCTACAAATTGTATCTGCCGGCATTGGAGGAAAGAGGCTTCGATGCAACTGGAACTTTCCGAGAGTGGAGGAAGAAGGTGAATTGACAAATACATGGAGAAGATCTATTTTTCTTTCATTTTCAGAGTGGAATGATCCCGGAAAAAGGCGAGACTTTGGAAGACTTCAACGGCAGAGTCGAAAAGGCGATTGCGAAAAGGGACGATAAGAGCAAAGTCAGCGGAGGCAAGAAGAAGAAGGGCGGCAAAGTGAAGCGGATTTGAAGCTATAATAAGAATGAAACTAGAAGTTGAGAAGATAAAAATGGAGATAAATATAGAGAATATAAATTGTAAATAATTTGTAGATCATTCATTCTTTATCTAATTATTTTCCCAATATTCTCCAAATCTCTCAACATGTATTTTTCTCTAAATGCTAAATTTCCCTATATTCCCCCTATATATTTACAGGTTGATTGTTGTATTCCCTGCTATATTTCATTATATATTTATTGTATGTATAGTTGTATTTCGTGTAATAAATGTATTGAAATATGTATAAAAACAATTTTTTATTAGGGGGCTGGATATATGTATTTAAATTTTATGATAAAAATAGGATTGGCAGATCCTTGGAAATCTTCGATATCCGGATCTAAAAAACGAGGGAAGGTCAAATGGAAACAAAACTAAGCTTTAGTTCAAAAAAAGTATACATAGAGGAATGGAAAAAATTAGTGCGAGACGTTTGAACAACCGAAAATATTTTTTCCTAGAATTTTTCTGTTTATTTATTCTGTTTTTTATTCTGTTTTTTCTTCTGTTTTTTATTCTGTTTTTATTTCTGATTTTTTCTTCTGTTTTTTTATTCTGATTTTTTTATTCTGATTTTTTTATTCTGATTTTTATTTCTGATTTTTTCTTCTGTTTTTTTTATTCTGATTTTTATTCTGATTTTTTTATTATGATTTTTTTATTCTGATTTTTTTTATTCTGATTTTTTTATTCTGATTTTTTTATTCTGATTTTTTTTATTCTGATTTTTTTATTCTGATTTTTATTCTGATTTTTATTTCTGATTTTTTTCTTCCGTTTTTTTATTCTGTTTTTATTTCTGATTTTTTCTTCTGTTTTTTTTATTCTGATTTTTATTCTGATTTTTTTATTATGATTTTTTTATTCTGATTTTTTTTATTCTGATTTTTTTATTCTGATTTTTTTATTCTGATTTTTTTATTCTGATTTTTATTCTGATTTTTATTTCTGATTTTTTTCTTCCGTTTTTTTATTCTGTTTTTATTTCTGATTTTTTCTTCTTTTTTTTTATTCTGATTTTTATTCTGATTTTTTTATTCTGATTTTTTTATTCTGATTTTTATTTCTGATTTTTATTTCTGATTTTTTATTCTGATTTTTATTTCTGATTTTTTCTTCTGTTTTTTTTATTCTGATTTTTATTCTGATTTTTTTATTATGATTTTTTTATTCTGATTTTTTTATTCTGATTTTTATTTCTGATTTTTTCTTCTGTTTTTTTTATTCTGATTTTTATTCTGATTTTTTTATTATGATTTTTTTATTCTGATTTTTTTTATTCTGATTTTTTTATTCTGATTTTTTTTATTCTGATTTTTTTATTCTGATTTTTATTCTGATTTTTATTTCTGATTTTTTTCTTCCGTTTTTTTATTCTGTTTTTATTTCTGATTTTTTCTTCTGTTTTTTATTCTGTTTTTATTTCTGATTTTTTCTTCTTTTTTTTTATTCTGATTTTTATTCTGATTTTTTTATTCTGATTTTTTTATTCTGATTTTTATTTCTGATTTTTATTTCTGATTTTTTATTCTGATTTTTATTTCTGATTTTTTTATTCTGTTTTTTATTCTTATTTTTATTCTGATTTTTATTTCTGATTATATTCTGATTATATTTATTTTTAAATTTAAATATGTTAGTCAATGAATTTAGAGTTTATAGGTACATATAAACTAACATTAAAAAGACATTTTTATGATTAAAAATAAAAAAAAATTTATCAGAATAAACAGGACTTTATTGTTGCTGTTTTAAATATTTTATCAATTTAAGGGTGTCTGAATATACAGTTTTAAGCTTACGAATGAGCATTTAACTGTATATTTGAATTTTTTACCCCTAAAATATGCGTACCCCCCTTATGGTTTTTGACCATTTCGAGCCCACATCTCGATCCTAAGACATACCCGGGAAAAAAGAGTGGTACAGTTCGACTCAACACCTTTTATTTCCTAGATATGACATTAAGAACATTAATTTAGAGGGATGTGGCATAACGGAAAAGTACCAAAAATTTTTTTATGAAAGTTGAAAGAAGAAAACTTTGAAAAATTGAAGAAAAATTGCAAAATATTAATGACTTTTTGCTAAATTTTCGGGTCGGAACTGAGAAGAAAATCCCTCCCGTTCGACATGTTGAAAAATCCTGTTAACTGGATTTTGGGAGTGCGATTTTGCCGTACCTATTTGCAAACTTTCATACTGAAGTCCCGCGGACACCCCAGGCACTCTCCTTTGTAAGGTGAATTCAATTTGGGAAAAAATATATTGTAATTTGTGGTCAGATTGTATAGTCAAATTGAAAAAACACTAAAATGTTTTTATAATATCCAATGTTAAACTTAATTTGTTAACTTTGTAATTTATTTTATCTTTTTACATTATTAAATTTAAATTCTGATTTAAAACTTTCAATTCGTCATTTGACGAGGAAACTTAAGAAGGAGAGGGAAAGGCAGAAAAAAACAATTTTGCAGAATGCCTTTTGCGGACATGCGGGACACAAGCTAGACATTTATCCTAATGGGGATATCAAGAATATGGGAAGATATCAAGGATTAAGTGAGATATCGTGCGATTAAAACGGTTACGTTGAACTGGTGCAGATATGCAGGGATTTGAGATTAAGATGGATATAAACAGATTAAGAGAATTTGGTGTCATATCGAAGAATTCATGATGTCTTTAAAATCCCCTATCAAAGATCCAAAATACAGTTTCCGGCAGGAAAAATGTTTTTGTGGATGCTAACTAACTAACAAAAATTATGTTTTGCCTTAATTGAACTAATTCTATTAAAATTTTCACGTAAAAAATTTTGGGTGGGCTTATATTTACGGTATTGTTCATTCAAAACACACATTCCTTAGTTAGATTATTTTGTCTGTTCGTCCAATTCCTGAAACGGAACATGGAAATGCTTAATTTTTAGGGTAACCGGAACATTGACTGTACGTGATTAATAGGCAATTAATGAATAAATTAGCCAAACATTTTAAGAATTTACAATTAAATTCTAAAAGTACATGAATTAGACAAGATTCAATAGACTAAAATTTACTATAAAAGCCTTGTTGGCTGTTTCATTCTTCCCTCCAAACACAACAAAATCTTCAATCACTTCAACTCTACGTCAACATCGTCCAAACAAACAACACAACAACGCTTCATGCTCTTCTGCCTCCTTCATCCAATGGACCACAACACCGGACCTTTGGCAAGGAAGTCGACAACGCTTTGTGCTCTGCTGCTGGTATCCATCGCCGCGCTCCTGCTGCTTGCAGTTCCTGGACAGGCCATCGTTGAGGAAGTCGGAGTCGCCAAACACACCAAGGATGGAAGCGATGTGAAGCTCAAAGTAGTCAGTAAGCAGGCCGGCAAGGACTTGAAGTATGCCGAGTACAAGAAGCTTTTTCCTACTGTCTGTAATTTCTTGATCGACGAGGATAACATGTAAGCTGATTTTTCCTTAAAATTTGATGAAATAACGTTTTCAATTTTTCAGTGAGCTTCTATACGAAGGCAGAGGGTGCACTGTGGAGCTGATCACCGACGAAAAGAGCAAGATCAATTTCAAAACAGGAGTGAAAGACAGTAACTGCAAACCAGAAATGTGCAAGCCTAATCTTCACTATTTTGAGAATGGCTTTTCAAATCTGTAAGTTCTAAGTTTATGCCGATTAAGGAAGTACAGTATAGTAAATATATTTCTTTAGACTGCCCTTCGCGTACAGCAGAACCAATGAGGAACTCAAAGAGCTCAACAAGAGTCCTTTATATGGTGGTACTGCGTGTGCTGAAAAAAATGACTGCGGGGGAAACTGCATGAAGCATACATTTCTCGAAGTTTCATGGAGTCAATGTATCAAGGACCCAAAATTATATGTATACGCTCACACCCATCTAAGTAAGATAACGATAATTTTTATTTGAAATAATCATTTTAGTTGGTGAGCGTAAGACTGGGCTAGACCAAAAAAGACCACGTGGTGAAAAAATGGAATTCAATCTGATGATAGATAGCGATAGCAGCTTCACAATGGATTTTGAGGAACTTGCGAAATCAAAATTTGACACCAAAATAGAGACGATTAGCTGCCTTCCAAAAGAAAATGCCATTGCCAAACCAACAACATGGAAAATCATAAAAGGAGACCTGAAGGATAAACATCTGCTCGTTTTTCATCTACTTCCGCCAAATGCTACAAGAAGGTACGAAGGAGGCGAAAACAAGGGAGCACTTACGACAAAACCAAAATGCGATCTCTTCATTCAGTTTGTAAGACTAATCTTTCAAAAAATTCACCTAAATTTTATCTTTCAGAAAAGGCCAGCCTATGAATTTCTCCAAGTCGTCCCTCCAACAACGACTACAAGCACAACTACAACAACACGGAAACCAGACCCAGGTACCAAACAACCACCACCATCACTACCACCCGGGAAAACAATTCCAACTCCAACGCCACAAAAGGTGGACGGAACTACAACAAACGTGCAAGCAGCGGCCACCGAAGGAGGAAGCAGTATCGTGATTTGGATAGCTGTGGTGATTTCTGTGGTGATTGCTGTAATTGGCCTCAGTGTCGTCGGCTTCTGCTGTTACCGGAAACATCAAAAGCAGAAAAAAGAAGAGGAGGAAGAAGAACGTTGGGAGAAGGTAATTTTAATCTTAATTTGACCAAACTAATTTCTTTCACTTTCAGAACTATTGGGCCAATGCTGGAAACAACACGGAGATTGCTGAACAAAACATCAAACGCTCTGTCGCAGAAAAGCCTTCCTTGGAAGCAGAATTCGTCGATGAAATCTTCGACAGGATGCATGCAAAGGAGGCGGTAAAGATCGAAAAAATTCTCAAAAAATTGTATCTGCCGGCATTGGAGGAAAGAGGTTTCGAGGCAACTGGGACTTTCCGAGAGTGGCGGAATAAGGTGATTTGATACAAAGTTTAAAAGTTTTAAACAAATTTTCTTTTATTTTCAGAATGATATGTTCAAGAAAGGAGACGAGACTTCGGAAGCATTCAACGGCAGAGTGGAAAAGGCGATTGCGAAAAGGGACGATAAGAGCAAAGTCAGCGAATATTTCAGCAAGCAAAAGGAGAAAGAGTACTTCGAGTCAAATGCCAAACCTTCCGAAGGCAAGAAGAAAAAGAAGAAGGGCGGCAAGAAGAAGAAGGAGTCGGCACCGGATAAGTCAGAATTTTCGGATATTCCAACGGATCTGTTGTCGGATGCTCAAGAGAAGAGGAAAAAAGATATTTGGTGATGTGAAGGTTGCGGCTAAGGATGAAACTAGGAGATGAGAGAAGTTGAGAAGATATATTGGAGATATATAGAGAATATAAATTGTAAATAATTGTAAATCATTCATTCTCTATCTAATTGTTTTCCTCCCCAATATTCTCCAAATCTCTCAACAAAAATTGTATATTTCTCTCTATAATGGCTATATGCCTCTATCTATATTCATTTCCCTATATTCCCTATATACCCATATATTCACATATTAGGCTATATGCCCATCTATATATGTATTATCTATGTGTATTTTCCTTATATATACACAAATTTCCCTATATATATTTCTCTATATTCCCTATATATTTGCAGGTTGATTGTTGTATTCCCTGCTATATCTCATTATATATTGTATTGTATGTATATGTATTTTTGTATGTATATTGTTGTATTGTAATAAATGTATTGAAATAGACAAAAAATTTTTATTAGGATGGCTGACGATATTTAAGTTTTTATGATAAAAATGGGACACGCCCAAGTAGGCCATAACTACTTGCCATAACTACCTGGAAAATTTCTGGACCTTTACAATTTCTCTATAGCTCAATCTAAATTTTGAAAGATTCAAAAATATTGAAGCAAGTTATGGCTTTGTGCCTACTTGGCCGCCTGCCTGGCTTGGGCTGTACCCGATAAGAATATATATTTTTCCCTATATTCCTATAAGACTAGGATGGGAAGATCCTTGAAAATCTTCGGATATCCGGATCCGAAAGCGAGGAGAGGTTGGAAATAAACTATTTAAAAAAATGGGCTGTACTTTAGCCGGTGGCCCACTCAGAAACGGGTCAAATTATATACCATTCGATTCGTCTCGGCGAGCTGAGTCGAATGGCACCATTCTTTTTTTGCGGAAATTCCTACGAGCCGAGATATAGGTCCTTAAAAACCGAAAAACCATAGGGGGGACCAAGCACTTTTTGGGGTGAAAAATTCGAATATGCAAATAATACCTCATTCGAAAGAGCTCGTCGAGCTGAGTCGATTGACACCAAAATCAACGAAATCCGACATGATTTGACAAAGTTATGAGCATTTGTTTTAGCTCCTTACCTTTGGTCTATGTACAGGTTTTTCTTGCTGGGGAGGAAGCCAGACATGCAGACCGCAGCTAAAATAGGCATAAGTTTATGTTACGAGCCCAGACCCAGAGCCCGTAGACTCCCCGCGAGGCGCGTGCCGCAAAACCCCGCGCGAAGCGCGGGGTTTTGCACAAGCGCCTCGCCGACGCCCCATAGGTTTATGTTGCTTGTATTTTGTGTTGTAACTTCGTCTAATTTTGTTCAATCACTGTGATTTTGGCGTCATTCGACTCAGCTCGTCGAGCTCTTTCGAAAGAGCTATAATATGGTTAAAAAATTTTTAATTCCAATAATCGCCTATTTGGATCTTCGGTTTTTAGGGGTCTATATCTCGGTCCAATCAAGTCGGATTTCGTTGATTTTGGTGTCATTCAACTCAGCTCGAGGAGCTTTTTCGAATGAGCTATCATTCAAAAAATCGAATTTTTCACCCCAAAAAAGTGCTTGGTCCCCCCTATGGTTTTTCGGTTTTTAAGGACCTATATCTCGGCTCGTAGGAATTTCCGCAAAAAAAGAATGGTACCATTCGACTCAGCTCGCCGAGACGAATCGAATGGTATATAATTTGACCCGTTTCTGAGTGGGCCACCGGCTAAAGTATATCCAAAAAATGAAATTTAAAAAAATAAAAATGATTTTAGAGGTCTTTGCTATCGAATTTTGATTTTCCCCCAAGTTTATGTTTTGTTTCAAAAAAGCTCTGTTTCGAAAGCTAAAATTCACAAATATAGTATTCAGAGCTGTTTCGAAATTATTTTTTTCTCAAGATTTTTTTCTTCAATTTTTATATTTTTGGAATTTTTTTCGATTTTCGAAAATTTTTTGTTTCGAAACTGCTCTGATATAAATTTTACTAAGATGGCTAGTACATAGGTATTCTATTTTTTACAAATTTTAAAATATCCGATTATTTCAAAAGAAGACACATAGGGAAAGGAAAGCATCATTATTCATTTAAAAAAATAATTAATTTTTTTCTAAATCACTTTCTAAATAGTTCATCCATTTTTCTACTAAATATTTATTCTAAACCACTCCCTATATTTATTTTTAATTTTAATTTTTTTAGTCAATGAATTTTTAGTTATATGTAGGTATAAATTAAAATTAAAAAGGCATTTTTATGATTAAAATTGAAAAAAAATAAATAAAAATTATCAGAATAAACAGGACTTTATTTGTTGCTGTTTTAAGTATTTTATCAATTTAAGGGTGTGTGGGGCAAAAGGAAGATGGGGTTATATTTTAAAATTAATAGAAAAAAAATAATAAATTATTTTAAAGAAGATTATAATATTAATTATTTATGGAACGATTTAAATAAAAATTAAGAAAGAAAAAAAAATTTTTTTGAAAATTAAAAGAAGAAAATTTTGAAAAAATCGAAGAATGGAAAGGGAAACTAATTAATGCCTTTCTGCAAAATTTTTGGTTCGGAATTGAATAGAAAATAAAAAATTCTAATCGGTTCGGTTTCTGAATTTTAAAAATTTTCGGTTCTGATTAGAGGTGAGCACAAGAGACAACCTCAAAGACGCAAAACGCATCGCAAGGCAAAAAATCAACGCTAGACGCAATGCGCTCACCCCTAGTTCTAATATAGACTCTGCCCTCTATATTCGGCTATCAGAAAAGAAAAAATTTTTCTAGCTTATTAAACACCGCAAAAAATCTTCAAAAAATTTTTTGCGTGTTTCACTAAAAATGGTCCTAAATTTGAACGTGGAATCATTTCCATTTTTGTCGAGAGATTTTGAAAGAATTTTCTCACTCAAAAAATTTTTTCCTGTTCAAATCTGTTAGGGTTCTTTTTTTTAGTATTTTTACTTTGATCAATTCAAAAAAAGCAACAAAAATAAAAAGATAAAAAATAATAATAAAATAAATAAATTGAGGAATTTTTTTTTTGATTAATCGAGTTTTTTTTTCTTCAAAGAAAAAAATTTTTAGAGACGCGCAGAGAAGAAAACGACAGTGGAAGAAAACCACTGACTTGCTTGGTCATTTTTTATTTTTTATTTATTTTTCGGGGGTCCTTCCATTGCTTTTTCTCCGTACCAATAAAATTATTTTTGTGGTTTAAAAGAAAAAAAAATAAATTTTTTCGACGTTTTATGGGAAAATAAAAATTATGGGATAAAATGTCATCTAAAAAATTTTGAAGGAAAATAATGATTATGAGAAAGTAAAAAGGAGAGAAAGGATACGTGAAGATATCCTGGATGTTTTTTATTATTAAAGTCAAATCTCTCTATAATGAGACGCCTTTAAAGAGATTTGAACTGACGTAAAAAGGAAGGGATCGAGGAGAAAGATGAGTTACTTGAATATCGTAAATACTCTAATTGAAGCCCTGGGCTTATATTTTTCAGTGGGTCATCTGAAAAAACTTGAATTAGAGGTGGGCTTCTACAAGAGGTTGGGTGGGCTTCTATTTCTCAATAGGCCCTCTCGGATGGGCTTATATTAGAGGTGGGCTTAAATAGAGTATTTACGGTATATATACTTTCAGTAAAAATACGTTCGACTCACACCATAGGGCTAAAAAGAATCGTAGCTTATACTGAGAGGTAGCTTAAATGGAGAGTATCGCCTAGGAGCTCCCACCCCAGTAACTAACCTAAATGTAAAAAAGTGTTTGTTATATGGAGAGATATTTATTATTGGGGGTATTTAAGGGAGGTCTGGCACACGTAAAGATAGGCTATAATAAAAGTATCTATAATAGGACAAAATTTATTGGACCGTTAAATATTTTTTAAAAATTAAAAGAAAAGGGAGATTCAGTTAAAAGTTGGAATCTAAAGCTTTCTAAATCAAAAAAGAAAAAAAAGAGAAAAGTCAATCCATTAACACAACAAAAAAAATACAAAAATTTTTTAGTAAAGATTTAATTAGTTGTTGTTATTTTTGCAGAGCATTAAAATAAAATAAAAATAACCCGGAAATTGAAGGTAATTATTAAAAATTAATGGAAAATATTTTTTGAAAAGGGAATTTGTTTTGGTAAATACATATATGCAAAATATGTCAGATAAGTAAATACTCCTCGGTCAAAGTTTACTGATATAAGAATGCAAATGAAGGAGTATTGAGACCAGGTCTGAAGGCAATTGCGGATTGCGTGTTTTTTGACTTGCGGATCTCGGCCGCGGAAATTTTTTTTAAATTGCGTCTAGCCTTGATCGAGGGTCATGGAAAATTCGAGGGTCATGGAAAATGTAAGGAATTGAGATGTCGTAAGCGAGAGAGGTCGTAGGTGGTGACGTTATAGAGAGAGTCTGAAAATATGCTTAAAGGTGTCGAAATATGCAATAAGAATCGGGTCTTGGAAAAGCTTGGACAACGTATTTGTGGTCTTCACGCTGCTCCAATCTTTTCTTACCTTATATTACCTTATATTTTATTCTTTTAAAAATTATTTATTTATTAATTTAAGGATAAAATTAAGGATTAAGTAAGCGATTAGAATAACTACTACTATAACCTTCCCTCTCTTATTTCTAGAAAAGTAGCTAATATTAAATTAATTGGGTGGATGATCAATCAATTAATAAAAATGGTTTAATGAACGATTTATATAAATAAATATATTAATAATGTGTTTTAAAAGGAAAAGAAATTATTAAGAAGAAAATTATAATAAGAAAAAAGTAAAAAAATTAAGAAATTTATTTTTGGATTAAATCAAAAAAAAAAATTTTTTTAAGAAATAGTAAATGAAATATTGTTTAAGTAAAATAAAATTTGTAGTTAAAAAATGCTGCCCTGAGGATTTTTCAAGTTAACATTAACGAAACTTCCACAAACCTACCATCCCTGAATTTTACAACTGCGGACAGATTGTACATGATAATTAGGGTTGGGGCCCGGTTCGGTTCTAAAGATAGAATCTGATATCGAATTTTGGCCCGAAAAAGATTCTAACGTAGGCTCGATCAGGCATGGTCATGGATACAGACATGGATACAGATAATATCAAAATGCCTGCGGATATCCGCCTGTATCCACCGTAAATATGCGGATACGAATACCAAAATCAGTATCCGTGACCATGCCTGGGCTCGATTCGAAAATCCCAACTTAAATTTGTTTCGAAATTTTGAAGAGTTTTTTCTTTCTCGAAGATTTGTTGTTTCGCAACAACTCAAAATTGCAAAAAAAATTTTCTAAAAAAATGAAAAGTAAAAGTGTCAGATAAAAAAATATTAGATATTAAGTAAAAAAAGAACTTGTTTAGGTCACAAAACTTATATTAACAACTTTATATACATATTAACAACACATTTCTTCTCCTTTTTTGTCGATAATCAACCAGCTACTCCTAATAATAGTGCGCGTAATTTTTTAATAGCAAAAAAAGGAAGAAAAGTCTGGAAGACTTAATTTGATTAAGCAGGTGCTGAAATTTTATTTTTTTTCTTTTGAAAAGACGGAGACGTCAAAAAAAATAATGGGCCCGATTTATTAAGTAAATTTTAAAGGTGGAGTAGAAGAGGGGGGGGGAGGTCAAAAGAGAAAAAGGTTTTGCGAAAATAAATTTTTAAAAGAATACGTATACAAATTTAAAATATTATTAGTTAAATTACAGAGAGAAATTTGCGGAAAAAAATTGGCGAACATTTTTAGAACAGAAAGTTTTAGGTATAATTTTGTAGACAGAAAAGTTTTGCGGACAAAGATTGCGGACGAAATTTGCGGACAAAAATTTCAGGGCGGAAACTCATAGAAAAATTTTGCAGACAAAAATTATGCGGATGCTAGGAATTAGTATATTTGCGGACAGAATTTACTTAAGGAAAGAAGCTTGCGGACAAAATTTGTATGTACTAGAAATTTGCGGAAAAAAATTTTGTGGAGAGAAAGTTGCGAACTGGAAAAGACCTAAAACGTTAACCTACTGATTTACAGAACGCAAATAAAAATAGGTAAAGCTAGAAAAATAATTTTAGTCTTTTAAATAAATTTTTAATTGTTTTTGAATTAAGGATTATAGTAAAGATTTGACTTAAAAATTAAAAGATTAAAAAAAATCCCAAAATCACGTGTGTGAGGTCTTTAAAAATTTCCCTTTAATTTTTACTAAAATTAAAAGATTTTCTCTGTACAAAAATACAAGTTTGCCCCAAATAAATAAAAATAAAAAATAGTAAAAAATATCCGATCGGAAAGTAAATGAAGGCCGATTAACTAGAAAAGAGAGAAGAGAACATTTAAAGTATTAAATAGTATTTATGTAAATGACCTATTATAAATGTCCGCAAAAGAAATTTGCGGACATTCTCGAAATGACAGCCTACCGATTTTTGGAAATTATAGCTCTTGGGTCTTTAATTAATAAATTCAATAGCTAGAGGGTCGCTTATCATCACAGCTATAATCATTTAAGATACCTGAAAAAATTAATTTCCCCATACGGGTTCAAAGTAACAGATTATAAGTAATTTTATAAGCAAATATTAAAATAGGAAAGTAGATTTATGCGGAATTCAGTAAAAAAGCGAAGGTCTGTCCGCAAATATCCTTTCACGTTGTTAAAGGAAAAAAATGATTTTAAATGACCTTACGGATCATAAAAGAAATAAAAATGAACAGAATTATTAAGGTGACTATTACCAATAAGTTGCACCACTCTAAAAGCTACCCCAATACTAGATACACCACCAGGTGGGTGCAGTGACTAGGCAAGACCCTGTATTCTTTCCAGCTCAAGAGTGTATCCAAAAATGAAGTCCGACTACTATTTTTGATCCCATCCCCCGTTAAATTGTTGTTTACGTTCCCCATAAATCGCCTATTTATTGAATGCCGTGCAAAATCCTCCCAAAAAATATTAATTTTAAATTTCCTCATCGCTGGTCAGTTTTCAGAGAAAAAAGAGGGAAATATGAAGGATAAATAGGTAAATATATCGACTAAATTTTAGGTGAGTTATATGTATAAAAAGAGAATGAGTAAATGGTCAGGTACTACGCGCAGTTGGATGCCATGGGGGAGAAAATGGGGGAGAAAATGTTTGTAAAAAGGTGTGTGGGGACATATGGGGGGATAAAAATAAAGGAAAATAAAAATGCATGAAATCAAGTGTCTGAATATTTTTTATTTGATTTTATAGTTAATATTTTCGGAAGGTTTCTGATCAGTGTTTGGATATGATTTGGAAAGTATAACTATTATAGATAGAAAAGCCGACAGTTAATTTTAAATTTAATTGAGTAAGAGAGAAGTTAAGTTTAGCCATGGGAAGGCAAGTCTGTGCTCATTCGGGAAATTCGTCTATAATGTACCATAATAATTTCTAGTTAAGGAAAAGTAGAGTTAAAGGGTTATCAGTCAGATCTCGTTCTTAAAGATCTCTAAAGACAATCTTCGATTACACATAGATAAGTTTGGTGGAGGAGGGGAAGGGGGCCAGTTGGTGTTTGAGGTGGGTTAACGGCCCCTCCATTTTCTAGAGGGGAATCCTGAATCAAAGATACCCCCCCCCCCCATCATTTTTAAATATAATTGTGCCAATTATAAAGGAGTATGTAAAAATGAAATCAGACTTTGTAAAAATTCTCTCATCTTTACATAATTAAAAATAAATTAAATTTTAAATCGTCCCTATAATTCAAGTAGAGAATAAATAAAAATATTTTTCTATTTCGTACAAATCACTACTTTCTTCAATATACTTTTATTGGCCAAATGATGAGCGATGATGATGAGAGCTATGAATTTGTTTTTGTTTTTACTGGTTGTTGAGAGAAAAAAGGTCGGTCACGAAAAGGGAGAAGAAGAAAATGTTTAATCAAAAAGAAGAGTTTTGAAGCGGTAAAAAGAGATGTTAATCAACAAAATTTTTATTTTATTGACCATGATGAAAAATATAAAATGGAAAAAAAAGGAAAAAGGAGAGAAATGTCAAAAGCTAATCGCGCTGATTTTTTTATGCTAATAAATGGGGACATAAATAAATACATAAATGATTTTTCTCTCTATTTTTTGTAATCGAATGGTCTATAAATAAATAAACGATGATGATTTGTAAAAGGAAAAAATTATTTTTTAATTGTTAAAAAATCAAAAAATAAATTTTTGATCAGCAAAAAACTCAAGTCATAAGGACTAGGGTTGCTGGATCGGTTCTGTTCGAAAAATTGAATCGGGCTTCAATTTTTGGCCTGAAAAAGACTCGAGCAGCCTGGTTCGATAAAAATGGGGCCCGAAAAAATGTCTAGAACGTCGGCCCGATTTGAAAACGGCAACACTAATAAGGACACCCTAAGGAACATCCAAAAAGATAATGTTTATAAACGACCTGTCCTTATATATTCAGATTTATTTTGGTGTGAAAAACACATAGAGGTTGGGTCGCCGAATGTTCGGGTTGTATAAATATCACCATGACTTTATACCTAAGTCTACAGTAGTTATCTAATATTACATAGACACAAAAAGAATAAGTAAATGAATGAGAGAAACTTTAATGAAGTAAATACGGTAATATGAGTAAAAATGAGAGAATAAATAGTAAAACGTAGAAAAATTTCATGGCATCTAAAACAAGTCTAAAAGGTTATTTAACAAAAAATAAAAATTTTTTTTAAATTTTGAAAAAAAATTTGAAGTGAGAAAATTATAGTCCAACTAGGAGGAAAAAGCAAATATTATTTTTAGTCTGTAGAAGCCTCTTTTGTTTTTATTTGCGTTTCAGATTAGGCAATAAAGAGTGTTTTGTTTGTAGACAGGACAGAATAAAAACAAACAAGATGATAGGCAGCCGGTCAGTTTTTAAAATATACCCAAAAGGTCAATCGTTATATGGGCAGTTCTGTAGGTATATAAATATTTCCTTAGCTCGCTGATCGACTATAAAAAAGGTTATTATCAAAGGAGTCTTGCTTTGAGATAGATGGAACGAGATTTGATAGTAGATCACTCCATACATAGGATGAGGCACGCCCAAAACGGCACGCGGTCATAACAGCGCAAAGCCATAGCTTGCTTGAAGATTCACGAATCCTATCAAATTTAATATTAAACGATTCAAATCATTGAGCTAAAGAGATTGGTACCAAAGATGGCAAGGGCCAGTAATTTTCCAGCTAGGTATGGCTATACGCCGTTATGGCCGCGCGCCCTTTTGGTCTGTACCCCCATTAGTTTTCGTATACTCTTATCACCGCGATGATCAGTTGGGTGTTGATTTTTTTGTTTTTCGATATTGTGGACCCTATAGTCATTCGGAAAAGGCAGTCTTTTAGTAAAACAAAATTTAAGGTAAGGCCAGAAAAGCTTGGGAAAGAGTAAAAAATAGAGAGGGGGTAAAGCAATGGAAGTTTTCTACAAGGGTTTGAAAGACTACTAGTGCTAAAAGTAAAAATTAATTTAAGAGAGAACATAATTTACTTTACAATTGTCCATTTTTCTTGGACAAACAGAAAATAAATTTATAAATGATTAATTGCATAAGAAAGCAATAAATAAAATTTTATGAAGGGGGAGTATATTGGAGGGTTGAAAATTTTTTAAAAATTCGAGTTGGGAATAAAAAGTAAGCTTAGGGACGCCAAAAAGAAGGATAAGTTGGAGGGATATGTTGAAGGCCAAGTTGGGTATTCGGTTGGGATAAGTGAGAGATACGAGGGATAAATTGGATTTTAAGGTGGGATAAGTGAAAATAAGGGTAGGATTTGGAAGGGATAAGTGGGGAAATGGAAAAGGATAGCTGAGAGATTAAGAGGTTATAATTAGGGTGCCGGCCCGATCCGGTCAGAAAGACCGAGTCGGGCATCGAATTTTGGCCCGAAAAAAATACACCGAACGTCGGCCGACTCGGAAACGGCAACCCTAGTTATAATAGAAGACTGAGTTTGCCTTTTAATTTATTTTATTAATTTAAGAAGTTTATATCATTTTTCTCGGCTTTAATAAATAATAAATATATTCTTGGGGACAGACCAAATAAACAAAAAGTAAAATAGAAAAAGCAAAAAGAGTGTGTGGCTGGTGATTACTCATTCTCTGGTCAACCCCCTCTTTTTATTTAAATAATTCTTTCTGGTCAAAAGTCTTGGCCAGAATTATAAAATAAATAAAATATTCTCCCCTTTTTAGTACCTTTTTTGGTTTATATTTAAAAATATTAGTCATAAAAATAAACTAAAATTGCGGTCAAAAGCAATCTAAAAAAGATGATAAAAATTGAAAATATATATAATGGTCAATAAATAGTAGGTAGGTTTTTCTCAAATTCCTCAACCTTCGTGGACGTGATATCTACCCTAGTAGAGATCGAGCTGGGCTTGGACAAAGGCCTGGGTTTTTCCTGTAGCCAGAGTCCAGGCCAAGGTATTTTTTGACCTTCCTGGGTTTTTCCTGGGCCTGGGTTTTTCCTGGACTACAGGCCCAGGATTCGGCCTAGTCAATAGATCAAACCCGGAACCCAGGAACAGGCTTTTCAAAAATCTCGATCTCTAAACCCTAGTACTTTTTTTCGATATTATCGCAAAAATATCGACCGACCCTTCCGTCCAGGCTCTAATAGAAACCCTAGTTGTCGGTTCGGAACTAAATCGAAGCGAAAAAATGCAGATTTGATTTTTGGTAGATAAGTGAGTGGACGTGGGATAAGATGGAGTTTAGGGTGGGATAAGTGAAGATAAGCTTGATATTAGTAAATTGGAGGGATAAAGTTAAGTTGGTACTCTAGTTAATAAAATATATAAAAAGGAAATTAATTGATGTTAAAATACAAAAATGAATATTACCCAAATTTCAGTTAGTATATTACTAATTAATTGAAGAAAGTTTAAATTTTAAAATTGACATGAAAATGAGAGAGAGAAAAATTAAAAGTTTATAGTAAATAAAGTTTAAAAATTGCCAGAAATTAATTGATTGCGCGACGTGTGAAAAATAAAAAATTAAAAAAAACCGACGATTAGATGTGTTTAGTAATTATACGTGATTGGCCCGATAATTTTTAATTAATTGATGACAATAAAAAAATTTTTTTTCGAAAGGAAAAAAAGGTTTTTTGTTGAAATAGTCAACAAATAAAAAAGAATATAGTAGATAAACAACTTTTTTTTAAATTTTTCGTTCTGATATAAAATTAAAACTTGAATTTTAAAATTTTACAAACTGCAAAATTATTTGTAAAATAAAATTTTAATTAATAAATTTTTGAAAAATAAATTCCATTTTAAATTAAAACTCGACGGATCTTGAATGTACGTAAACCCTTGTGTATGGAATAAAAGTTGTAGATAAAATTAAGATATATGTAAAATTGGAGATAATTCCTAGGTAGCTATTCTCTTCCTAATCAACTTAAGGGATGTAGAAAGTTTACACAAAATTAGACACGCCAACAAAAAATGCAGTTTCGAGGGAATCGGAATTCCCGGCCCAAAAACCGTCAGAAATTCTGGGTTTAGAATTGTTACAGCATGATCACGTGTGTAGATACAATCTAGATCCTACTTTAATAAGTATCCCTACAATGCCTATTTTTGTGATTTCAGAAATTTTTTACAATAAAATTTTTTGGTTTTTCATCTCTCAATTTTTCAATGATCATTTTACCTTTTATTATCCTTCCCTTTTGTATTTTTTGAATAAAATGAACAAAAACAAACAACCAAAAAATGGTTGTTTAAAAGGCAAATTGCTCCTTTTGAGGTAAATAATAAAATAAATGAGGATTGTGACCTTGAAGGGTTAAGAGGAAAAAATTTTTTAGGAAAAAAATCAAGGAAAATTGTGTATTTTAGTAAATATATGGCTAGAAAATTAAAAAGCATTTTTAAATTTAAAAGAAGGCAATTAAAATTGTAAAGAAGTTAATAGACAGAAAATTTAAGGAGAAAAAAGAAAAAAAAGTTTTGAGTTGCGCAAGGGAAGGATGAGGAAAATGACTGCAATTAAGGGAGGCTAAAAAAATATTTTTTAATTAAAAAAAATTTCACGAAAAAAAAAATTATTTTTCAAAAAGTCTCCCCCACCTCTTTCCATTTTTAAACGCCAGCCAGCATAATCCTTTCGCAATTTGACCATTCTCTGATATTGTAATTTGTAAAGTTGCAAGTTTTGTAATAATAAATGTTGTTCTGATTTGTAATTGTTTTTGTTTAATTTGTGAAACTAAATATTTAAACTTGAGTAAAACTTGGAATTTTACAAAGTTACAAATTGTAAAACAGAATGCAAAAATTAATTCTGTTATGATAAATTCTGATTTAAATTTTTACAAATTGTAAAAAAAAAGTTTGTAAAAATTAATTTTATTTCTCAGTAACTTAAAACTTGAATTTTACAATTTTACAAATTCTGATATTTTACAAATTGTAAAAAAAGTTTGTAAAAATTAATTTTCTTCCCTAATAACTTAAAACTTGGATTTTTACAATTTGTAAATTGTAAAAAAAATTTTTTACAATTAGTAAAAAAACTTGGATTTTACAATTTTACAAATTGTAAAATCCAAGTTTATTTTACAATTTATAATAAACTTAAGTTTACAGACTTAAAAACTTAAGTTTAAACGTAAATAAACTTAAGTTTGTATTTAAATAAAACTTAAGAATAAATAAACAAGCTTGTAAATAAACTTAAGTTTGTAATAGAAAAAGAGACAGAAACAACCAGAATTAATGATTAAAAATTACTTGTAATGAAGTAATTGACTGTGTTGGATTATTATTTTCCGTGTTGTTCCCCTCATTATTGTTGTCTTCGTTAGCTTTGGGCTCAATTCCCAAATAATACTCAGATAGGGCAATATATTCTCTTAAATAAATTATAATCTTATAAAAATTTATTTTATTTTTACAATAATCCATCCCCAATCATTTCCAAAAGTTGACCAAAACGCTCTCGTTTAATTTTTTCATCAATTATTTCACTCATTTTATTGCAATTTTTGTTGTTTTTTATTTTTAATAAGCTAAAATATTAAAAGAAAATTGTTTTTGTTGTTTTTTGACCTTGAAGAGAGATTTTTTTGATTTAATGGAGGGAAAAATAATAAAAGCACAGCAGGAGGATTTTGAGTAAATTTATTGAGTAAGTTTGAGTTTATTGAAGTTTTGGCCTTAAAATAGAGAAATTTACAATCAAAAATTGTTACTTGTATTAAAATTCTGATTTGTAATTTTAATTAAAAACACATATTCTGATTTTTGAAAATACAAATTCTGATTTTTAAAAGAGCAAATTCTGATTTTAAAAATCAGAATTTCATTTAAAACATGAAGAAATCAGAATTGCAATTTATTTAAAAATTCTGATATTTAAAATTCTGGTTAAAAATTCTGATAAAAATTATTTACAAATTCTGATTTGTAAATTTATTTAAATAACAAATTCTGGTTAAAAAATATTTATTTTACAAATTCTGATTTTATTTGTAAAGTTTCAACTTATATTTGTTTATCAGAATATTTAAAAACTTAATTCTGAAAATGTGCACAAAATAAAACTTTAAATATAAATTAACATTTCCGGTAAAGGAAATACCTAAGTTTAATTAATTAATTTTACAATTTGTAATTGATCAAAATACAAAAAAGAGGAAATTATTAATAATCAACAAAAAATCATTTTAACGTTAAATATTAATAAAAATAGATATATGGATAGAAAAATATTAAAAAAAAAGCAATTATTGGACTGTTCTATTTATTGCTTTGTTGCGCACTTTTACAACTCCTGTTCTTCCTCTATGGGAATTGGGACTCTCCCCCTTCCCTACTCCTTTCCATCATCTCCCTCAAAAACCCACACAACGATGGCCGACAATCGCCGATTGCTTGCTTGGCTGCTTCTTTTTTTTCTTTAATTTTTTTTCGAGGGGATGAGCATCACCTCGTTGCGGTTTGTATATAAGGGAGAGTCTAATCTCACATCTCCTTTCCTCAGGTTGTAGGGTCTTTTAGGCGCGAGAACGTTTTGGCGCGATCATAGGAAAATGCCTTATGAAGCCATAATTCTCTGCTATTTTTGTAAGGTGTCCTTCACGGGGTTAGCTAACACCCTTATAAATTCCAGAATTTTTGGATATTGAGATCTAGAGTTATGTTACAAAAACAAATTAACTCCCCTTCATTTTTCTGACAAATTCAGTAAATTTTAAGATAATTTCCTCAATATTGAAGAGGAAATCCTAAAATCTTTCTCGAGGTTACCTGACCTCATTTATAATTTTTTTGGTGGATCAAAGTCCTATATTAAGGCCCGGATCGGGTTCAACGCCCAAACGTCTTAATCCAGCCCCAAATCCTTCCCTCATTCCCTCTCTCTGGTCTGTTGCCCATGCCCACCTTTTTTTTAACAAAATGGCCTCGAACTGGTTTGCCTTCTCCTCGTTAAGAAGGGTTTCCTTCCTTCATCTTTTCTCATCCATTTCTTCATCCCCTCAATTTTTTCTTAAAAAGTGTCTTCCTCTCCTCGTTTTCCCTCACCTCAAAACGCTTCAATTAATTTTTGCCTGTACAACGTCCATCCAGTACAAAAAAACTAAACGAGCTACAAGAACAAACAATGAAAAATACGATTTGTGGTGAAGTAAAGAATTTAATTTTTAAAAGTTTGCAAGGTAAACAAGGGAAAAAATAAAATTTTTTTTAAATAATTTTGTAAAAATAAATTAAATAAATATAATCTAGGAATTATTTAAAATAGCAAAATATAGACTAAAAATAAGGAGTAGAGCTGTTGGCATGGAGATTATGTATATAATTGTTTACTAAACGTCTTAAGGAGTTATTTTTAGATTTCTATAAAGTAAAGTAACATGTAGTAGAATGTATAATATTATAGTTAATTCGTTTAGTCGTTGTAGAGCGATGGTATTTTAAGTTTTAAATGAGTCCGGAAGGTAAACTTCGACTAGGAGAGCAAGGTAAAAAATAAAGTTGATTTAAATTTGAGAAAGTTTTAATTATCAAAAAAGTATAGTATTTTCCATCCCACCTGGCCGCTCCCACCTGGCCGCTCTACTCAGAACCGCCGTTTAAATAGAAATACCGGTCAATTAGACAAATCATGGGGTTATTTATCTAACAGATCACAAAAATAACTTACCAGCTTTAGAAGCCGGTATCCAAAAATAACCTGAAGACATACAACAAGCTACACGTACATTTTAAAAAAATATTCAAACATTTAAATAAAATTATATTCAAATAATTAATATTGTGTAAAATTTCAAATTCGAAATGTTCATGATTTAATAAATACATATATGTATGTATGTATAAACATAAATAAATGAAGTGAAGTATGTATATTCTATGGTTTCATAAGCCTAATGATAACTCATTTTTTTAAAAAATATAACTTTTAATTTACTTAATATCATTTATTTAATTATTTTTGGATGTCAGTGTTTACTGGCAAATTTTTAAATCCTTTGGATTGGATATAAATCATTGTAAAACAAAAAATAGTATTTAGAAATCTAATTTAAAAAATTATTTAATAAAATTTATTTGAGTAAGGTATTAAGGAGTTATTTTTAAATTTATCTGAAGTAAGGTAACATGTAGTGCATTCTATAATATTAATTCGTGATAGTTGTTGTAGAGTGATGATATTTTAAGCAGTGCTTATAAACTCGTGCGAGAACGAGGCCAAAAATAGGCAGGTACTAAGTAAGAGTACGAGCAAAATTGAAATTTTTAAACACTGATTCCTAAGTTTTGGATGAGTCCGGTAGGTAACTTTGACTAACAAATAAGAGAGCAACGTAAAAAAAGATTTGATTTAAATTTGAGAAAATTTTAAATATCAAAAAAGTACAGTACTTTTCCATTCCCTCTCAAAATTCCACTCTGTTAAGAACTGCAGCTTAAATAACATGCCGGTCAATTATAAGAAACCTGGGGTTATTTATTTCATGGATCTTAAAAACAGTTTACCAGCCTTAAAAGCCGGTATCCAAAAATACAACCCTTGACTCCTCAAAATTCTGCTCAAACTTTGTATGAAATATTTTAAATAAAATTATATATCAAATAATTAATATTGTGTAAAATTGCGAATTCGAACATGTTCATGATTTACTAAATAAACCTCTAAATAAAAGAACTAGTATATTTAATTCTATGGTTTCATAAGCCAAACGACAATCGTTAATTTAGAAAGTATAACTTAAAATTTACTTAATATTATTTATTTAATTAAATTTTACTTAAATGCTTGTGTGTAAAACACCCATAAGTTCTTCTGGTTAGAAAGTTTAATATTTTTGGATGTCAGTGTTTACTTGCAAATGTCTATTTCTTCTGATTAGGTTTGTACAAATATTTGTTATAAATTTTCATAAAACAAAGGGGAATCTTTAGAAGTTTTTCAAAAAATTGTTTAAGAAAATTTATTTAAGGAATATTAAGAAAGGTAATCTTTAATTTTCATTCAAAAAGGCAATTGTTTCTTTTCTTTAATTCTTTATTGTGGAATAAATTAAATATTTACACAAAATACAGTTACTAAAAACAATTGGCGAAATAAAAAATATTTCGCGGAGACCGGAAAATTATTTTGTCTGATTTTTGGAATCATTTTTAAATTTTTCTTTAAACTCTAGTTCGCCTAGACATTCCAAAGTAGTAATTATAAGGACCACGGTTCACAGAACCATTACTTTTTGTTCTGCTAGTAAATGATGGAGGTGGGCAACTACAATAGTGAGCATCGGGTCCTTTAACGAGAAAAATGTTAATTGAAGCTTGCAACCAGCTACCTGGTTTTCCATTGTTTCCTTCAAATCCTGTAGGTCCTGGCTTTCCGACTTCTCCCGGTGGACCTTTTTTGAATGACAAAATAGACAATATTTTGAATCGGAAATTACCTGGATTTCCCCTCTCTCCAGGCGTTTCTCCAGGCGGTCCCGGCGGTGCAGGCATTCCGGGATTTCCGATTGGGCCTTGAGGTCCAGGGGGTCCTTTTGGACCCTTTGAACCTGGACGGCCTATTTGTTGGTGAAAATCGCGTCCTTTCTCTCCAACAGGACCTGGTTGTCCTACAACCCCTTGAGCGCCTGGTGGCCCTGAAAAATTTGATTTTAGACTTTCATTCGATTTTATCAAGTACCGTTATCCCCAGGACTGCCAGGTTGGCCATCTCTTCCAGCTGCTCCTGGCTTGCCATTGACTCCCTTCAAACAAATTTTATTTAAAAAAACATTTTTTCATGTCTCTACCTTCATCCCTCTAGGTCCCGATTTGCCTGTAGGTCCGACTGTTCCCTGTTGACCCGAGGGGCAATAATAACAACGTTCATATTCAGGAGCTAATTGAACATCAGAAGCATCTTTATTTTTAAAAAATTAAAAATTTAGAACTCTTCTTATTCAACTACCCTTTCCAGGTATGCCATTCAATCCATCCTTTCCATCATTTCCAGGCTTTCCTCTAACTCCTTTTGGCCCTGGTATACCCGGAGGGCATTTATTACTACTTCCAGTGGCGCAGTTACATGCGGCGTTCGTATTTGTTGAGATTCCTGGAGGCTTTGATTCAGGTGCGGAAGGTTCGTATACTTCGCGGCGAACCCGCCTTAAGTCGTTCCAATTTTCTTCTATTGATTCCTTTTTAAAATTGGAATTAAAATTTTAATTAGGGGATTTAAGATTTATTTTAGATTAATATTATTACAAATTCTGATTTATATTTGTAAAAATATTTTTTACAAATTCTGATGTTTATATTTCAAGTTTTAGTATTCTGGTTTTTGTTCCTCATGCATATAAATATTCTGATTTGTACAAAACTTACAAATTCTGATTTGTAATTTAATCAGAATCTACAAATTCTGATTTTATATTAATTACTTCTGTTTCTGAATTTCACAATTTGTAATTAGATATTTTACAAATTCTGAATTATTTTACAATTCGTTTTTTACAAATTCTGATATGTAATTGTAACAATATTTTTGCAAATTCTGATTTTTATTTTTTAAATTCTGGTTTCGATTTGTGTTAATTCTTTTTCTGAATTTTACAATTTGTATTTAAAGGTTTTACAAATTCTGATATGTATTAATATTCTGAAAAATAAATTTACAATTCTGAAAATTACAAATTCTGAAATATTTTACAATTCTTTTTTCACAAACTTTGATCAGAATTTTATTTTTAAAAATAAACTTTCCCACCCTAAATTGCCTTACACCAGCATCCACTTCCTCCCAAAATCCACTAATTTCTTGTTGAATTTGTATCATTGCAAATAATGAAATTACAAGTACAATTCCGCTTGTTGCAGAAGCAAGAAAGGCTGAATAACGTATTTCTTTAGGCAAAATGTTTGTAGTAGCCATTCCAGCTTTAAAAAAAAATTTCTTTTAATTTTCTCCTTAATTACCCTAAATATTGTGAAAAATGCTAGGAAGCTAATTAAATGAATAAATTAGAGGAGAGAGAAGATTTTTTAATATATTTACAGGTTGTTAAAATAAACAACTAAAAAAATTTTTTTTAGTTGACCAACTCGCTTTTATGTATTTTTTTATAAGAAAAAAATATGGAGAAAGCTTAGTGAAAGCAATAAAAATAACCAATGACTTTTTAAATCGGCTGGTTGTGTGATGGTTTTTAATCTTTTCCCTTTTGATCCCTAGCCTGTCCGGTTCAGGTTCAATCGAACGGGCGCTCCTCTTTTTGTTGTTATCCTTGGATAATCAAAAATATCACCTTCTGATAAATCAAGATTTCTTTGAGCAAGATTTTGTTGATTAAAGTAGAAGTAGGGAGTTAGTAGAGAGAATGTGCTATTTTTAAGAAAAGTGGATAGCGAGAGCTTTGGTGCTATACAAGGAAGAGACATGGTCATCATCTTTAAATTTAACGACTCCAGATTTGTGGACCATTCTGTTTGGACCACTTTAAATGTATGGGATGGACCCCTCTCAACCTTTGCTCCTTAATTTTTTTTTCTCAAGATCATGAGGATCCTTCTCAACAATCTTGAGAACCCTCATGGAGCTATACAAGGAGGAGACAGTCACCTTTCAATTTAACGACTCCAGATTTGTGTTTGGACAACTCTAAATGCATGGACCACTCTTCAAGTGTCTTTGCTCCTTAAGTTTTTCTAGGCTCTTGAGGATCCTTCTCAAAAGTCTTGGAGGCCCCTTTGTATTGGTGTTATATTGACGATTTTATTTATTTTAACTGCTTTAATTTTTCGTAAACTCCCCAGCATTCCCAAGAACGAGGGCAAAACATTGTAACTAAATTTGCCTTTCTAGAAAGTGATTTTATGGGTAATCCATTAGAATGTTTGTTAGTCTAGGTAAAAGGTCCAGTCTTTTTTCATTCATTTCTCACCTCCAGTTAAATGTTTTTTTTTCAATATTTAAAGTAGCTGGGTAAATAATATTTGGCGCCGCACAGTCGCTACTTATCTCCTGCGCGACCCCTTACGCTTGGGCGGTAATTAATAAGAAGCGGGTGTGTTTTTATGGATAAAAATATGAAAAAAAGGAAGAAGAAATAAATTATATAAAAATTTTGGACGGCAAATGGATGATAAAAAAAATTTTTTTCGGCAATGAACAAAGTGAATAGTAGCAATTTAATGAATTTGGTAGACCAAGAAAGAAGGCTACAGTATATCCTTTAATAACTACCCGGGGTAATTATTATTTCGTTCTTCCGCTGATGGGAGTAATTAATCGAGGGAGGGTAATTATACATGGTTTGAAATTTGAACGTGTTTTAGGGCATTTGATTGAGTTTTAGGGCATTGATAACATTGGAAGAAATGGTACAATCCTGACCAATTCTGAGGTAATTTGAAGACTACAATTCTTAAGTACCCCTTATTCAACAAGAAATCATCTAGACTTCTGAGCTTCGTATTCAGAAGTTAAACTAAAATAGGGACACTTCTCAATTTTTCGAATCAAATAAACAATACAACCAACAATTTATATCTACACAAAAATACAATTAAATACAACAATTCAAATACAATACAAACAACAAGAAATATACAATACATACAATGAGAGCAATATATGGTGACACAAATTTATCACAATTATATCTCCTCTCTCGGGTTATTATTCGGTTCCGACGGAATCCACCCATCATCAACCTCCTCCTCCTCAGTCTTTGGAACATCAACACCGTCCACAGCGCCTCTATTCGCCTCCTTTATCTCCCTCTCCTCAATTGTCGGCCCCTCCTCGATTGTCCACTTCTCAGCCTTCTCGACGATCTTCTCGATGACCTTTGGCTGCTCGTATTCAATCGCCGTCCTTGTCCCATCGTTCAAGGTGAACGTCGCCGCAATGTTCTTGTTCTGAAAAATAAAAAATTTGGGAGGATTAGCTGAGATTTTAAACAGAAATTTAAAAATATTCTTCACCTTTTTCCACTTATCGAAAGACCCAACAACTGCAAGTCCCTTCTTTTTCAGTTCCGGCGTGTATTCCCGCTCGAAGAGTTCGTTGTCCTTCTGCTTCTCGAACTGATCCACAAGGTACTGCAGCTTGTCCATGGCCTTTTTCTTCTCCACTCTCTTCCAGATTGCAGCGATCAGGTCGTCGACTGAAGACAGCTCCACCGCAGTCGTCGTTTCGCCCTCCTTTCTCTGAAAAAATGAGAGAAATATAAGTTTGATTTATAAAGAATGGAATTTTAAACTCACATCCTTTTTCCATGCAGCAAATGTCCCGACCACCTTTTTGCCTTTGGTCTTCTCCTCAGCCTTGTACAACGCAAGCAGACGGTCTTCTTCTGCACGTTCGGCGTCCTGCTTCCCTCCCTTTTTCTTATCCTTTCCTTTCTCCTTCATCAAGAGCCAGACCAAAACTGCAATGACGATCCCGAAAAAGGCGCAAGCAGCAATGCCAATTGCAATGTAGAGACCTCCGCCACACTCCTCCTGCTGCTGTGGACACGTTGTTGTTCGGGAAGTCGTGCTGGTGGAAGTGGAGCTGTTGGCGGCCGTAGGCAAAGTCGTCGCTGAAGATGTTGTCGTTCTAGGCGTCTCTGATGTTCCCGTTGTTGGAGCTTCTGTGGTCGCTGCAGTAGTCGTCGTAGTCGGTGGCGCTGTTGTTGCAGAGGTGTTGACAACGAGCAGGCTGTAGTCGGCTGTAGCCTGAAAAAATGAAATTAGTGAAAACTTATACAGAGCTACAAGAAGGTAAAAATCGAAAACTCACAAATTGAACGAAGAGTTCACAATACGGTCCGTTCGGAGATCCAGAACGCTGGCCACCAGGGTACACAAAAGTTGCGTTTTGTCGAAGCAGGCTGAAGACAAGCAGTTGTTTGCCAATGTGATCTCCATCCGTGATCTTCCATGTTACGGGTTTTACGATTGGATCTTTTGCTGGAACGCAAGCAGCATCCTCCGTAGCGTTGAACGACTTTTCTTTCGAGAAGTTCATCGTGAACGCGCTCGCAGAACTTATTGTCAGATCGAAGGTCATCTCACCGGCCAACTGCTGCTCCTGTTGGACGCTTTGAGACACCTTTTCCCCAACTGAAACATAGTTAACAGATTAAGCGATTAATTTATTAATAGATTAAACAAGATCCTCACCTAGATGTGTATAAGCATACACTTGCCCCCTAGACAAGCTCCACGAGACTTCAAGAAATGTCCACAGCATGCATGTACCACTTGAACCCTCACAAGACGGTTTATTATAGCACGAATCGTCAGTTCCATTGTACGGGCCCTTGTTGTTTAACCTCTTGATGGCTGTGTTGTTCACGTTGTAGACGAAAGGCAGGCTGCAAAAATTTAAGGGATTTAAGACAAGTATTAAGTCGAAAGAAACAATGCAAACTTACATATTGTTATGGCTTTTCTCGAAAGTAGCACCCTCGTCTAGTGAACGACATATCTACGTTTTCGTCGATTCGCGGCGAATAACTACTTTTATTCGCGAACGACTATTTTTTAATACAAAACGCCAGAACTACGTTAATATCGATGTTTTACGCCAAACGATTGCGAATCGACTTTTTTGTATCTCTTTTTCTCTAACTTCCCATTATATTTCCTTTCTCTTTTTCTATTAATTTTCATTTTTAACAGTGTATTAACTTTTAATTAATTTAATAAATTTTCAGCCGTTTATCCGAATTTTTTAAAAATTTTAATTTTTAAATATAAAAACTGGCTTAATATAAAACCAAAAAACTGGTTTTTTATTCGTAAATTTTATAGCATTGAATTTTATATAGGATTTTGAGACATTTTGTACTTTCTTGTCTTCCAATTCCTGGAGACATTCCCAAAACCCGAGAAAATATATCTGATTTAGTCAACAAAAATCTTAATTATCTCGGGCTTGACATGTGAAAGATAGTTTTCACAACTGATGAGGGATCTAATGTAAGATAGAAAATCATTTAAAGAAATTGTTAACAAATATTCTGGAAATCACACAGAGAGAATGGAACGAATTTTTTCCAAGCAAAATCTTTTTGGAGCTTATATTCAAATTGTTTCAATGTCGGAAGCAGCTTTAACCAAAAGTGGATATTCTTGATCTTTTTTAGAAATCTTTATTTTTATTTTATTCAAAATTCAATTATTAGGTTGATTTTGGTGATGTATTTAATGTTTCTGTTCAAAATGAGCCTATCCAAATTAAAGATGATTGTATATGCTTAATGGATCCTAACACTTCTTTTTTCTTTCGCCCAACTGATTCTGAATATGATTTGCAAGCATGGTTTGATTGGATTCTTGAGAGAACAAGAGAATGTCGAAGTATTAAATTACTCAGGTCTGTATTATATGAAGAATTTTTTAAGGTACTTAATGGGGTTGTTGGCGACCGGTTTTAAAACCGGAATTTTTTAAATTTTTTGCCAAAAATTAACCATTTTTAGAAAATCTTAAAAACCGAAAACCGCGGATACCGGTTAATAACCGGTAAAATAAACCGGTATTTGTCTAAAACTCAAAACCGAAAACCGCGGATACTGGTTAATAACCGGTTGCCAACAACCCTAGTATTTAAATAGTATAAATAATATTTTTTAAGGCTGCATGGGGTGTACAAATTATTTGTAAACCAAAACTTCGTCGTGATTATTCAAAAAGGTTACAACCAGAAATTAAAAACGATGATCTGGCTGAGAAAAGACTAGATTTTGAGATGGAACAGTATGAAACTGGATGTAAGAATTTGAGAGGAGAATTGTAAGAATTTTGAGACTTCTTGTGAACGTATATTTTCCTGTTTTTCTCCTTTATTGTTAGTAATGATTATAAACGAAATCGTTTTGACCCACATACTATTTCTATACTTATTTCATTACAATCATTATTTAAAGATGGATAAAATTTTGTTATTTTTTTTTTAAACTTTAGAAAACGAAAACCTAACAAAAATTCCAATGGAGAAACACGACGAACGAAAATTAATAGAAAAAGAGAAAGGAAATATAATGGGAAGTTAGAGAAAAAGAGATACAAAAAAGTCGTTTCGCAATCGTTTGGCGTAAAACATCGATATTTACGTAGTTCTGGCGTTGTGTGTTTAAAAAAAAGTCGTTCGCGAATAATTGTAGATTTTTTTAAAACGACTTTTTTTCCTTAAGAAAAAGTCGATATGTCGTTCACTACCCTCGTCAAGGCATCTGGTGAGATTTCCACCTCTTGGGTTCCGATCTCCTGTCGTGAACTTGATCGTGTTGTCGTTCAACTCGTTCTTGCTGAGCAGGTCCACAGTGCATCCTTTGCTGCCTTTGTTGTACCGAAGCTCGCTGAAATATAATAAAATTTTCGGTGCGATCGGTTTTAAAAAATTGAAAAAGTCCTCACATGTAGTCGTCTTCGATTGTAACATCGCAGGCGTCCGGATACAGCTTCCTGAAGTTACAATCAGCAAGGTCGTCGAAGTTTGCCCTGTTGGCAATTACGGTGTTGTCGTCGAGCGTCACTTGGTTGTCGTTAATCAATGTGTGCTTGCCAAGTCCGACTTCTTCGATTTTGTCCTGTCCGAGAACTGCAAGTGCGGCGATGGTGAGCAGCAGCAGCAGAGAGCAAAGCGTTGACGACTTTCTGGCCCGTGGTCCGGTGTCGAGCTCCAATGGAAGAAGGCAGCGGATGAGCATGTAGAGTTGCAGTAGACGATGTAGACGTTCTGTGAGTTGCGACGAATGTTTTGTAGAGTTGGTGGAGATGAGTAAAATGTCGGGGGCTTTTATAGTAGAAAATAGAAATACGGAATTGCCAGCAAAAAAACGTAGGGGCTATAAAAGCAGTTTTATTGAGCTGTTCAATATCTTCTTCTGCCTCACATCATGCCAGTCATCGACAGGACTATGTATAATGTCGTCTCCAACACACAACTGCTGCCCCCCGAAGCAGCAACAACCACAAACGACAGCAGAGGAACTGGCGAGTGCCATGCAGGAATTGCGTCAACGATCCGACAACCCCGAACGATGTGCCGGTTCCACCTTTACAAGAGGAGCAGAAAGAACGGTTTAGCTTTTTTCAGAGGACAAAGGCTTCCTTGAAGAAACATAAGGGTTTAGCTAAAAGAAATGGATTGAGTTGAGGGTAAAGTCAGGGCCGTTTTAAGAAAAATTTTTGGGTTGTGTTACTTGTTTAGGGTTTCGGAAATGCTTGGAGTTTCAAATAATGTATCACATTCTTGATCCATATAAAAACAGAAAAAATGAACTTTTAAATTTTTTTTAAAAATAAAAAAAAGAAAATGCATACATAATAAAATTAATAATAAAAAGGCGCACAGGAAATAAATTAAAAATTAAATTTAAAATCGTTTATAAGGCAAAAATTTTCCAGACATAATTATTTTTACTCTATCACCTTCATTACACAATTCTTTCTGTAAATCTATTCGGAAATCTACAGCACTCATTATTCCATCTCCAAATTGTTCATTAATTAATTCTTTTAATGCATCTCCATAAATATTGAATACCTTTTAAAAATTATTTAAAAAAAATTTTTTTTTAATTTGCGGACAAATTTTGCGGACAGTTCTTTGAATTTGAAAAAATGACCAAAAATTAAATCTAAAGCTAATTAAAAATTCTAAATGTATAGCAGAAAATCATATGAGAAATTTGCCCAAAAAGAAGAAAAATCTCCAAAATATTTTTGCGTAAAGTCCGCAAATTTTTTTGCAGAAATTAAATTTAAAGGTTCGAAAAAAATGTTCGGAGTTTCCGGTAATGTTTTGAAATTTAAAAATGAACTATTAAAAATTTAATAATTATTGTATATTACTTCTTGAAACCGATACAGAAGAGGATCATTAGAAGTACTTGCACAATTATTATTATTTCCTCCTCTATTTGGGATAGATTTGAGCCATTGTTTTGCATCTGGGGCTAATTGGAATATTTCAATCTGTTTAATAAAAAAAAATTTTTTTTTAATTTTAATTTTAAAAATAACTTTTTAAATGTACCCATAATTAAATTTGTTACCCTTTTTGGTTTTGACCATTTCGAAATTTTTTTTTAATTTTATGGGAAAATAAGCATGAATCTTTCAAATTAGAATTTTACTTATTATGGGGGATTTAGAAAACAGAGAAAATAAAAATATTGGGAGAATAAAATGACAAAGAATTGAGAATCAAAAATAAACCCAAGGATTTTGTTCTGAAAAAATTTTTTTTAAATTTTTACGGACAGCTTTTTGCGGACAATTCACTTTAAAATTAAAATTTTCTTAAATAAAAAACACTAAAAATAATTTTTAAAAGAAAAAAAACCATTTTTTCTGCTTCACTTTCATTAAATTGCATTTTCCCCAAACACGCAGCTGTTGTCCATTCTTTACTATTTCCAATAATTTTTGCAATTTCTGTCCATTTTAATCCCAATTTAATTTTTTGTTTAAATATTTGATTAATTACATCTTCTCTACAAGAATATTTAAATGAAAAATTTTGGGAGGAATTTTGTTGGTTTTGTTGGTGATGATTTTCTGTTGGAATTTCATAATTATTTGTTGTTGAATTATTAGTAGAAGGACATAATCGTTCAAATAGAGATACTTGAGGAATTAATCTTAAATCTTCCTCCTGAAAAAAAATAAAAAATTGACACTTTTTGGATCTGACCCTTTTTTGAATTTGACTCATTCAAGGGCGTAGCCAGGGGGCTGAAGCACCTTCCCCCCCCCCCCCCCCAAATAGAGGAAGGGAAACACCCCATGTTAGCCCCCCTTACCCCGAAATGACCCCCTGGATATGCTCTTGGACCCTTTTGAATCCTATAATTTTTAAAATTTGGTCAAATTTGATCTTGTCCCAACAATTCCTAAATAATTTAAAATAACAAAAATAAGAATTTAAAATAATATTTCCGATAATTCTCATTGAAAATATGCATATAAAAAATGATCTTGCAAAATAATATTTGATACTTGCAGACAGGCCTGTAGACAGGATTTTTTTTCGGAGGAGAGGAGGGGCCGAGGGAAGAAAATTTTTCTGCGCCAAATTTTTGGCGCCGAAGGTGTCAAAAATTTTTATTTTCAAAGCCGCAGGCAAAAATTTTGAGAATTTTGGAGCTCAAAAAGCCAGAAGAAGCCCCCTGGCTACGGGCCTGCTTGCAGAATTTACTCGTTTTAACACTATAATTTTACACTTCTTACAGAAATTTGTAAAATAAATTCCCTATTTAAATTTAAAAAGAAACCTCCAATTTGACATGTTTAGGCCAACCAGCGTTTGTAGAAGTTTGTGCAATCTCATCCAAATTGCATCCATTTTTATTGCTATTGTTAGATTGATAATTTGCTAAAGCCAAAAATTGTTCTTCTATAGGCCTTTTTCTGCTTGGTGTTTCTTCTTCTCCTCCGTTATTTTTGCACATTTCAATTATTAATCTTTCCCACTAAAAACAAAATTGAAAAAAAATTTTCTTAGATTTTTGATACGTGTAAAAATCTGAGATTTTGCGGACTCCTCCTATTCCCCTTCCCCCTATTTCTATTGTTTTTCCTTTCCCATTTAATCAATCAAAAAATTTTTTGGGTTTATCAGAGCATTACTAAACACTATTTTTTAGAAACTCAAAATAAAATTGGAGCCTAGAACTCCTAAAAAATAGATGGGAAAACTTCGAACTTGAGGTACATCAAACTATTGTGCCAAAATTCAGAAAAAGAAAAGGGCAAAAACAAGAGACCGGACTGGGAGGGTCGTACAAGAATCGAGATCTGTAAAAAAAATTTTTTCGTGATCTCGTCTCGGTCCGATCTCCAGCAAAAACCCACGGGAAATGTCTCCGCAGAAGATATTCATAAAATTGATCTGTCCTTACAAGTACTCAAAATCAAAATCTGATAAAACCTTGGCTTTCTCACTTACATCCTTCCATTTCCGACTTTCGTCAATTCCTGCTGCCAAAGCATTTTCATATCTTTCCATAACTTCTTTTTTCTTCTTTCCCCACAAATCACATTGTAATTGTTTCCGAGTACGTCCAGCAAATCTTTCAAATCCTCTGTCAGCACAAGCATTTGCTACACTAGCCCAAATTGCGTCTAAATCAATTTCTGAATTTACTGGTCTATGCCTTCTAAAAATTAATTCTTGTCGTGAAGAAATCTCCTGAAAAATAAAAATTAGGGGGACACTGAAGTTTGGGTGCCCCAAATTATTTTATTTTCCTATTTTTCATTGTTTTGCCTTCGTCTCCTTTCAATTTCTTTAGCTTACAGTATAAATCGAGAATTTTAAAAACCGTGACTTTAATCTTGGAAAAATGCCCTAAGCTTGACTCTGGATTCGAGAAAAATCAAAGTCTGGATCCAGAAAAGTCAAATCTCTAGTTGCCAGAGGGAAAACAAGTGAAAATAAGGAAGAATTAAAATGGGGTACCTAAAGTTTAAAATCTTCAAAAAATAAAAATTAAAAATAAAAAGAGTAACCTCCACAAAAGCTGTCAATTCAAGTTCCGTCCAGTTACTAACTCCAGTTCTTGTCATTAGATAAAAATTATTAGTTAAAATTTATTAGAATTTATTAAGGATGAAGTAAAATGAATAAAAAATGAATATTAAAAATCCCAGACTCTACTGGAACTTTTAAAAATAAAAATGGGACAAATTGTCATTTTTCAGTGTCATTTTGGTAAAAATTTTTTTTGCCAGTTTTTTTGCAATTTTTGCGTGTATCTCTCGTAATTTTACGAAATTTTTGAATTTTTCAATAAAATTTTTTTTATCTTAACTTGTCCTGTTCTGCCATAAGTTGTTCAAAATATTTACAAATTTCCGTGTCTTTGTGTATTTTACTTCTAACGTGTGCAAACAATCCTTTTAGATTACGATAGGGAAGCTTAAATATATATTTAACGGCCCCATCTTCTTTGCATTTAATACACTCGGCTTCATTGACGTTAATTCTGTTGAATAGGCCAATTTTCCAAATGGGATGTTCTGTCATCTAAAATTAAGAGAAATTTTTTTAATTAAAAAAGGCTTGGAAGGGTACAGCTAGGCGCGCGGCCAAGTAGGCGCAAAGCCATAACTTGCTTCAAGATTTTCGAATCTCATCAAATTTAGTATTAAACGATTCCTCTCATCGAGCTAAAGAGGTTGGTACCAAAATTGTCAAGGGCCAGAAATTCTCCAGCTAGTTATGGCTTTGCGCCTACTTGGCCTCGCGCCTAATTGGGCGTGTCCCGACTTGGAAGGGCTTCTGAGATTTTTTGAGAGGCTTCGGATTATTAGAAAAAAGAAGCTAATTTAAAAATGTTTCTTTTTAATTGTGTAGCTTGTCTATAAAAAAGGAGGGCAAATAAACCTCTTCTTTTGAAATGTGAAAAATCGAATTTTGCGTGACTGGGTGCGTGCTTGCCTTTTTCTCTAAATTTATTCTTCTCTGTGCTATTTTCCTTTCCTTCGCGTGACATACGAGTTATTAAAGTAAAGACAAGCTCTGGTTGATTTAAAAATTATTTTAGAATAATGAATGTCTTGAGAAGTTGCGTGCCTTGAAGAGAGAAGACTTTTTTCGGTCAAAAAAAATTTTTGAAATTTTATGAATTTTTTTGGATTTTTCGTTAAATTTTTTTCCAAAAAAATTCCAAAATTTTTCCAAAAATTTCCAAAAAAATTTTTTTTTTATTTTATAAATTTTTTACAGGTTTTTTATTTAATAGCATTAATTATTTAAAATTATTTAAAAAAATTTTCTGCGATGCCGCGCATTATTGATGGTGTTAAATTTGATTTTTCTGATGTGGTAATTTTTTTATTATTTTTCCAAATTAATTTTCAATTAATTCCAAGTTGTTAGTACCTAAACGTTCAACACTTAAAAGTCGCTCTGAAGTTGATTTGAATAGAGAGTATGTCTTTTTATTTAGGATTTGTCCCCAACGTGGGAGGGGGCACGGGGTTCAATTTTCGTGGAGGCCAAGGACAGGGAGACAAGGGGTTTTCCCTGCTTTTGGGGCCAGGGAAATTTTTTTGGTAATCTTCTGCTTCATTGGTCCCTAGAAAAAAAATGAGGAAAAAGTGCTAGTTCGGCATTTTTGAGGTCTACCAGTAGGTAGTCAAGTGTGCTGAGTCCGAATATGAGCTTAGAATTTGTTTATTTCGAACCCCGAACCCGAATTCGACCAAGTCGGATATGGGGTAAAAATTCATAATTTCAAATTTTTTGTTTAATCGGATTCGTCTCTTCGAGCTGAGTCGATTGGTATCAAAATTATTACGTTTCGACATCTTTAGACTAAGTTATGGTGGATGATTTATATACGGAAGTCTAACCAAGCATGTATTTAATTGATCATAACTCAGTCTAAGGTTGTCGAAACACAATAATTTTGATATCAGTCGACTCAGCTTGCATAGACGCGTCAGAATAGCGATAGCCTAATAGTTTCGAATTCTTACCCCGAATTCGACTTTGTCGAATTCGGGTCCGGGGTTCGAAATAAGCAAATTCTAAGCTCAGATTCGGACTCAGCACACTCGATTACCTACTGGCAGATCTCAAAAATATCGAAAAAGCATTCTACCACATTTTTTCTAGGGACCAATGAAGCAGAAGATTACCAATTTTTTATTTTTTCACGGGAGGAGAGGGGGGGGGCGGTTATTTAACAAATTAAAAATTTTTTTAATTTTAGGTTCATTTTTAAACATTCAAAACAACATTATAATGGCACTCCTGTTGTTGCTAGTGTAAGAAAAAAATTTTTTATTAATTTATTTAAAAATTCCGAAAAATTTTCGATTAAAAAAGTTAAAGAAAAATTTAATTTTCATTAGGGTTGCCAAAATGGCCCGACTCGGACCGAAAGATCGAGTCGTTCCTAATATATTTGGCCCGAAAAAGACTCACCGGCCCAACTCGGAAAAGTTATGCCCGAAAAAATGACTCGACCGACGGCCCAATTCGAAAACGGCAACCCTAATTTTCCACTAAATTAACCCTTTAAAATATTTTTTACAAATTAAAAATTTAATTTTTCAGAATATGGATACCGTTGGAACCTTTGAAATGGCTCTTGCTTTGGCGCAAGTTAATTGTTTTACTACGAGTTTGTATTTTTTAAAATTTTCTGAAATTATCTAATTAATTTTTAGTTCATAAATGGTACACAATTGATGATTGGAAAAATTTTCGAGATCAGGCTAAAGAAAATCCAAAGGTTATAATTTTTTGATTTTTTCTTTATTTTTTTTATTAAATTATTTTTTAATTAAAAATAATTTATAAAATATAAAAATAAGAATTATAAATTTTTATTTTACTTTAATAAAATAAAAATCTCTCTTTACGAGGGAGACTCAGCCTCTCCAAAAATCGAAAACTTTGAAGACCTATAACTTTTCGATTTGGGTGTTGTAGCCAAAAAAAGCTAGAAACTGCAATAGGTTTTCGACTATGCTCTACGCGATAGTATAACTTTTATGAAAAAATTTTTACTCACAGTCGAAATGTTCCCTTCTAACATAAAGAAGGAAGAAAATTTTTTCGAAGAAATTTCTTCAAAATTTCATTAAATTTTTTTTTTTAATTTTGTACTTATTGGTTATCCCAAAGTAGTTTTTGCGGACATTTTATGCAGACTCATTTTGCATGGAATGGTCAAAAGTTCTTTATTCCTCGATTTTCTCTGTGCTCTCAATGAATGAAGCCACGAGGAAAATTGAGTGAAATCGAGGAAGGAAGAACCTTCTTGCTTTGTTGGGCGGAAGAAGCTTTGACCATTCCGTGCAAAAATGAGTCCGCATAAAATATCCGCAAAAATACTTTGGGATAACCAATAAGTACCTTTGAGAGTTTTTAAACGTCTGGCTAGAGCACATATATTTTTTTTAATTCAAAATTTTTCTTATAATTTTCTTTTTTTTTTTAGATTTTCGATAATATTGCAGTCTCCTCTGGTTCAAACAACGACGATTTTGATAAAATCCGTCAAGTTTTGGAAGCTGTTCCCGAATTAAAATATATTTGTTTGGATGTTGCTAATGGTTATTTTGATGGATAATTTTATTAATTTTTTAAATTAATTAATTTAAAGGGTATAGCGAAACTTTTGTTGATATTATTCGACGTGTTCGCGAACAATTTGCAAATCATACAATTTTTGCTGGAAATGTGGTTTGTAATTTTTTGTTAGAATATTTTTTACAAATTCTGATTTTTATTTAAATCGGAATTTCTATTTAAATTTCTTGGTAATAGTCGGTTTCGTACCCCCCCTTTTTTTCCTTCCTAAAAGTATTAAAAAATGGTCAGTCAAATGGCCTTTTATTTTTTAAATTTCTGGGGTCTATATCTCGGCCCAAAGTTAAGACCGGGGGTTGAATCTATAAACTAAGGCTGACTGACCATTTTGATACTTTTAGAAAGAAAAAAAAAGGGGGGGGGGTACGAAACCGACTATTACCAATTTCTTTTAGGATCAGAATTTGTAATTGTAAGAAAACATGAAATAAAATTACAAATTCTGTTTTTTTTCATTTTTGTTTTTACAATTTCTGTTTTAATTAAATATAGGGTTACTAGTTTTTTACAACTTCTGATTTATTTTTAGGTCAGAATTTTTAAATTCTGATTTTAATTAAATATTTTTTTACAAATTCTGATTCCTATTCAAATCAGTGTTTGTAAATTCTGATATTTTAAATTCAGAATTTTACAAATTCTGGTTTATTTTTAGAATCAAAATCTGTAATTGTAAAATACCAAAATTGTAAGTGAACAAAATTACAAATTCTGATTTGTAAAGGAACCAGAATTTGTAATTCTGATTTGTAAAGGAACCAGAATTTGTAATTCTGATTTGTAAAGGAACCAGAATTTGTAATTCTGATTTGTAAAGGAACCAGAATTTGTAATTCTGATTTGTAAAGGAACCAGAATTTGTAATTCTGATTTGTAAAGGAACCAGAATTTGTAATTCTGATTTGTAAAGGAACCAGAATTTGTAATTCTGATTTCTATATTTTTTACAAATTTTGACTTTTAATTTTTCCGATTTTTTCTATTTTTGCTTTACAAATTCTGATTTTATTTATTTATTAGGTAACAGCAGAAATGGTTGAACAATTAATTCTGACGGGTGCTGATTTAGTTAAAGTAGGAATTGGCCCAGGGAGTGTTTGTACAACTCGAAGCAAGGCGGGTGTAGGCTACCCACAATTTAGTGCTGTTTTGGAATGCTCAGATGCCGCCCATGGTTTAGGCGGGCATATAATAAGTGATGGGGGGTGTACCTGTCCAGGTGATGTGGCCAAAGCTTTTGGAGCTGGAGCTGATTTTGTTATGGTTATTTTTGTGATTTTTGGTAAAGAATTATTTTTTAATTTAAATTAGTTGGGTGGATTGCTTGCTGGACATGATCAATCTGGTGGAGAAATAATTGAAAAGAATGGGAAAAAGGTTAACGAAATTTTGATTTTTATTTTTTTTTAATTTCTGATCATCTAATTCTTTTTCACAATTTTGATTTTAAATTCTGAATTTTACAATTCTGATTTCAGATTTTTTCAGAATTCTGTTTGAATTCTGAAATGAAATTCTGATTTTTAATCTTTTAATTCTCGTTTTTATTTTTTTAATTCTGATGCTTAAATTCTGATTTTATTCGAATTTTTTTTTCATAATTCTGATTTTTCTGAATTTTTATTATTTCTGACTTTTAAAAATTCTGATTTTTGTTTCTGAATTCAAGTTTTTTCAGAATTCTGATTGAATTCTGAAATGAAATTCTGATTTTTATTTTTTTTTAATTCTGATTTTTAAAATTCTGATTTTTTCAGTTCAAACTCTTTTATGGAATGGCTTCAAGTACGGCAATGAAAAAACACCATAGCACTGTTGTTGCTGATTATAGAGCTTCTGAAGGGAAAACGATCTCAATTCCATATAGGTAATCTCAATTTTATATTTTTGTTAAATTCTGATTTTTACAAAATTATAGA